ATAAATCCTTGCTACAGGAAAACACAGGAAGTAAAGAATAAACACTGAGGTATAGTGTGTTATATATGTGTGGAAATAATGTTAGGAAATGTTACATGGCATTGGAAGAACTCTGTTGAAAGTAGTTTTAAAAACATATCTGAAACTTTAACAGAATATGTATTATGTTTGTGATTATTTATCAGAAACTATAAATTTTGATATTAAGGCTTTGATCTATATTTAATAAATACAATTGTTGCAATTGGTACACGAGTTGGACATGGAAAAGTGTGTACCTAATTTGTGTAATCAACTCCTCCTACAGTATTCAACTGAGATCCCTGAAACTTCACAGGAAGATTACACATATGTTGAAGTATTGCATCTGCTATTTTGGAATTGTTTGAACAAATTTTACATTTTTTTGGACTTGGGAACTTAAGTCCATGACGTTAAAATACTAAATCTCTGGGATGTGTTTTAGTTGATTTAAGTCTATGATGCATGATTTTTTATTATACGACCGCAAAAAAATTTTTGTGGTCGTATATTGGTATGACGTTGGTGTCGTCGTCCGGCGTCGTCGTCCGAATACACATTAGTTTTCGCACTTTAACTTTAGTTTAAGTGAATGGATCTCAATGAAATTTTACCATAAGGTTCAATACGACAAAAGGAAGGTGGGGATTGATTTTGGGGGTTATGGTACTAACAGTTAAGGAATTAGGGGCCAAAAAGGGGCCAAAAATAAGCATTTTTGTAACTTCCAGACATAACTTGTGTGTAAGTATATGGATCTCTCTGACATTGTACCACAAGGTTCCATATCACAAAGGGAATGCTGGGATTGATTTTGGGGGTAATTGCCTCCAAATTTTAGGAATTAGGGGCCAAAAAGGGGCAAAAAACAAGCATTTTTCTAGTTTCATGACAATAACTTGTGTGTAAGTGTATGGATCTCTCTGACATTGTATCACAAGGTTCCATATCACAAAGGGAATACTGGGATTGATTTTTGGGGGTAATTTCCTCCAAATTTTGGGAATTAGGGGCCAAAAAGGGGCAAAAAACAAGCATTTTTCTAGTTTCAGGACAATAACTTGTTTGTAAGTGTATGGATCTTTATGAAATTGTACTGCAAGGTTCCATATCACAAAGGGAAAGCTGGGTTGGAGTTTGGGGGTAATTGCCCTAAATTTTTAGGAATTTGGGGCCAAAAAGGGACAAAAAAACAAGCATTTTTCTAGTTTCCAGACAATAACTTGTGTTCAAGTGAATGGATCTCTCTAAAATTGTACTGCAAGGTACCATACCACAAAGGGAAAGCTGGGATTGAGTGTGGGGGCGATGAATCATAAGGGGGTTCAAAAAATTTGGGGGGGGGGATTTTTTTTTCCTTTTTTTTCTTTAAAATTTTCCATTTTAAATTGGTTATTTCTGATTTATATATAAAAGCAAATAATAATGATATGGTTTGAATAGCATACATGTGAACCTCCCGACAGGTGTACAATAATCCTGTTTTCAGGAGGCTCCTCCTGACCTCCGGTTGAAGAGGAAAATTATAATCCCGTGTATGAAATTTTTCATGAATGAAAAATTTCTGCCCAACATATCATCTCAGGCATCTGGTGTAACTCACATTACCTGAAGTTATATTTTACCTGTAAATCAATTAACATGCATAATTATATGGCTTCACTTGTCAGCTTGGGTGTCAAACATACTGGTAATCAATGATTTTTTACCTCAGGCTAACTGCCGTTGTGTAACAAAAACTGTGTATTTATTGGGTTACTTCCCTTGATTTATCCTGTTTTAAGTTACTTTCCTTTTAATAATGAAAATTTTTAAAAGAATATAAATAAAATATAAATTGAACAAATAATCATAAAAGGATGGTAAATAAATGATTTTAAATGTCTTAGGACAAATAAAAAAATAATAATTTGAAAATTATTTGAGGATTCTATACTTCCTTTCAAGGCTTAAATTGAAATTTATATAACAACTATGACCCTGGTTTTACACTTAGAATGATTTTCTGAGTATGCAAACAAAAGCTATTTGCAGATAGTTAAACAAATGTTCTGGTTGAAATAAATGTTTTATAGAATATGAAGTAAAAAATTTAAAGAACATACTGAAAAAAAAAAATGTTAGATTGAACATGTAAAATATAAAGATGGAGAAACTTTATAAGTACAAGGGTACTATAAACATAATAAATTGGATGGAAAGTTGAAGAAAACACACTTTAAAAGACCATTTTTACAGCACACGGTTACATTTACGACAAAATTTATGTCGATTAAAAACCCCTCCTGATCTGAGTCCTAATCTCCTGACCAAAATTTCCCAATCTCCTGATCTGAGTTTCACAGTCCATCACATGTATGAATAGGTAAATTAAAAAATTATAAGTTCTTAGACCACTTTCATTCTGTGTCAGAAACCTATGCTGTGTCAAATATTTAATTACAATCCAAATTCAGTGCTGTATCAAGCTTGAATGTTGTGTCCATACTTGCCCCAACTGTTCAGGGTTTGACCTCTGCGGTCGTATCAAGCTGCGCCCCAGCGGAGCATTTTATTATTAATTGTTTTTGGCTTTTGACTAGCTTTCAGTAACTGCGAGTACTCTCAAATCGTACTTTCGTGTTAATTTGACCTGTTGATACAATTTGTAATGCATTTTTGTTATTTAATGTTTATTTATCTAGTGTTATATCTCGTCTCTCTATTTTAGCTTACCTGGACCAAACTTGGCCTAAATCATCCTTAGGGGATCTAGTTAAAAAAATGTATCCGATGACCCCGCCCATCAACCAAGATGGCCGCCATGGCTAAAAATAGAACATGGGGGGTAAAATACAGTTTTTGGCTGATATTTCTGAAACTAAAGCATTTAGAGCAAATCTGACATGGGGTTAAAATGTTCATCAGATCTATCTGCCCTGAAATTTTCAGACGCATCAGATTTTTTTTTGTGTGTGACATCTTTGTAGGTTATTGATTGAGCTAAATGTTTTATTTATTACAATATAAATTTTTATAATAGCAGGTGTCTGTAGGTAATTGATTGAGCTAAATGTTTTATTTATCACAATATAAATTTTTATAATAGCAGGTGTCTGTAGGTTATTGATTGAGCTAAATGTTTTATTTATCACAATATAAATTTTTATAATAGCAGGTGTCTGTAGGTTATTGATTGAGCTAAATGTTTTATTTATCACAATATAAATTTTTATAATAGCAGGTGTCTGTAGGTTATTGACTGAGCTAAATGTTTTATTTATAACAATGTAAATTTTAAACAGGTGTCTGTAGGTTGTTGATTTAGCTAAATGTTTTTATTTATAACAATATAAATTTCAAACAGGTGTCTGTAGGCAAAGTAAAGGTAGGATTAACACTAGTTATAGATGTTTGTCTACTTAACCTGTGGCAAAATGCTTCACAAGCTTTCTGTAGAACCAGTAAAAACCAAAAAGCCATCACTAACTTTGAAATAAATATTTATGCATTATGCTTTTAAATAAATGCAGAAAAGATGTGTACCATATAAGTTTGGAACGAATGACAAGTGTGCTTCATGGAAAATTCTTAGGTCTTGTATAGAAGTCATGTAATTGAAAGAATATATATTGTAAATTCAGAAATTATAACAATGCTTTTATTAATGCTAAAAATGTGACAGAATCATGTTTGTTATAATAAAAACTTGCATTCATAATTTCAGCAGTGAATTTTCTTCATACGATTTTTGCCATCGCGTTAATTAGATTTCACATTTTTGCTAGTGGTCAAGGATTTGCAATAATAAATGCACACATTAATTTCTGAATTTACAGTATATTTCTAATTATTTTATTGGGTACAAATTTTTCCATTTATAATTCAACTGTTGACTCAGTACTTAGGGATCTGTTTATTTAATGATAACAATTCCAAATGCTGTATTTTTCTTCAAATAATCTATATTTCCTCTTCATTTGATAAGAATATAGCTATGTTCTACAGAAAGCACTGGGATTTCATAATCACACTTTTTAGCTCATCTGGCCCTATGGATTCACTTGGCATCTTCATCATCATAAAATTATTAGAATTTCAAGATCTTAGTGCTTCCTATTATCACCAAAATTATAGGAGTCATTCCTCAAATTGTTTTGCTAATTTTCGTTTTAATTTTTTGCCCGTTATCTAAAAATATATCTGTGAAAAATGCAAATATGACTGAAACCATTTGATGATTACCTATAAAGAGTTATTGCCCTTACATGATGATTTTTGACTAATTTTCTTGTTTTAACTAATATCTCCAAAACTATAATAGATAGAAATAACAAACTAATGATAAGCAATACAAGATCTACATTAAAGCCAATGACCTAAACCATTGGATGACTAAAATAGGAGTTACTGTCCTAAAATGACAATTTTTGACTAATTTTCCTGACTTTTGCTTATTATCAAGAAAACTATAAAAGATAGGTAGATACTGTTAACAGTAAAAATAATATGCAATACACATCTAAATATGTCAAGAGTTATTGCCCTTTAATGACGATTTTTCACTAATTTTTGTGTTTTGGCCAACAATCTGCAAAACACTTATAGATAATTTAGAATATTTAAACAACAAAAATGAGCAGCTATGATCACAAAAATGTGAAATGGAGTAACTGCCCTTATAAGACAATTTTCAACTAATTTTCCTGCTTTTTGACTGATAGAGATATCAGTCAAAAAGCAGGAAAATTAGTATTTATAGTTATGTCGAAACTGTGAACATAAACATGATAAATAAATGAAGATAATTACAAGATCTACACAAATGCTGCTGAATATAATTTACAAATAAGCAAACATAACTGATTGCAATAAAAGTAATAAAAGATAAATATCAAAATTGCATATTCTTCCAGGTGAGCGATTCAGCCTCAGATGAGCCTCTTGTTTGTTAATACTCATCTTTCTTAAATGTAGCATACTGTGTTTGATCATCAAAAATCACAATTTACATAACTTGTTTTCTAGTATTCACTTGTTGATTTATTTGGTAGATGTTGATTTTAAGTTAAATAGACAATAGACAATATTTATTAGCACAAACACATTTACATTAAATGGTTATGGCATACAGTATTGAGACAATAAACTGACAATAGTTAAATTGACTAACCCTAACCATAGTTAAAGTAAAATTTCAGATATTTGGGCAGGTCAGCTGATTTGAACAGACTTATAAATATAAATAGTTCAGGGTTCAGATAAGACCGGTTTATCCATTAAACAGCAGTTAACTTAAGGACAGATTACATTTAATGAAGGGCCAGTTTACACAGGTTTTCACTTTATTCAGTATTCAGTTTTGAAAGGTGTCCTGTTTTACAGGGGCCAGTTTACACAGGTTTACATTTTCTAGAGGTCAGTTTAGACATGTTTACAAAATGTTTAAAGAATATACAGGGTCAGTTTTATAGATAGGTAAATGTTTAATGAAAGGTTGATGTTAATTGTTTAGGAAGGGTCAGTTTAGAGACGTAAATGTCATATGAAAGGTTGATGTTAATTGTTTAGGAAGGGGTCAGTTTAGAAAGGTAAATGTCATATGAAAGGTTGGTGTTAATTGTTTAGGAAGGGTCAGTTTAGAAAGGTAAATGTCATATGAAAGGTTGATGTTAATTGTTTAGGAAGGGGTCAGTTTAGAAAGGTAAATGTCATATGAAAGGTTGGTGTTAATTGTTTAGGAAGGGTCAGTTTAGAAAGGTAAATGTCATATGAAAGGTTGATGTTAATTGTCTAGGAAGGGGTCACATTAGAAAGGTAAATGTCATATGAAAGGTTGATGTTAATTGTTTCGGAAGGGGTCAGTTTAGACAGGTAAATGTCATATGAAAGGTTGATGTTAATTGTTTAGGAAGGGGTCAGTTTAGAAAGGTAAATGTCATATGAAAGGTTGATGTTAATTGTTTAGGAAGGGGTCAGTTTAGAAAGGTAAATGTCATATGAAAGGTTGATGTTAATTGTTTAGGAAGGGGTCAGTTTAGAAAGGTTGATGTTAATTGTTTAGGAAGGGGTCAGTTTAGAAAGGTAAATGTCATATGAGATGTTGATGTTAATTGTTTAGGAAGGGGTCAGTTTAGACAGGTTTACATTTACATTAGGGTCAGTTTAGAAAGGTTAATGTCATATGAAAGTTTGATGTTTATTGTTTAGGAAGGGGTCAGTTTAGACAGGTTTACATTTATATAGGGGTCAGTTTGGAAAGGTAAATGTCATATGACAGGTTGATGTTAATTGTTTAGGAAGGGGTCAGTTTAGAAAGGTAAATGTCATATGAAAGGTTGATGTTAATTGTTTAGGAAGGGGTCAGTTTAGAAAGGTAAATGTCATATGACAGGTTGATGTTAATTGTTTAGGAAAGGGTCAGTTTAGAAAGGTAAATGTCATATGACAGGTTGATGTTTATTGTTTAGGAAGGGGTCAGTTTAGAAAGGTTAATGCCATATGAAAGGTTGGTGTTAATTGTTTAGGAAGGGGTCAGTTTAGACAGGTTTACATTTATAAGGGTTAGTTTGGAAAGGTAAATGTCATATGAAAGGTTGATGTTAATTGTTTAGGAAGGAGTCAGTTTAGAAAGGTAAATGTCATTTGAAAGGTTGATGTTAATTGTTTAGGAAGGGGTCAGTTTAGAAAGGTAAATGTCATATGACAGGTTGATGTTAATTGTTTAGGAAGGGGTCAGTTTAGAAAGGTAAATGTCATATGAAAGGTTGATGTTAATTGTTTAGGAAGGGGTCAGTTTAGAAAGGTTAATGTCATATGAAAGGTTGATGTTAATTGTTTAGGAAGGGGTCAGTTTAGAAAGGTAAATGTCATATGAAAGGTTGATGTTAATTGTTTAGGAAGGGGTCAGTTTAGAAAGGTAAATGTCATATGACAGGTTGATGTTAATTGTTTAGGAAAGGGTCAGTTTAGAAAGGTAAATGTCATATGAAAGGTTGATGTTTATTGTTTAGGAAGGGGTCAGTTTAGAAAGGTTAATGTCATATGAAAGGTTGATGTTTATTGTTTAGGAAGGGGTCAGTTTAGAAAGGTAAATGTCATATGAAAGGTTGATGTTAATTGTTTAGGAAGGGGTCAGTTTAGACAGGTTTACATTTATATAAGGGTTAGTTTGGAAAGGTAAATGTCATATGAAAGGTTGATGTATATGATATTAGACCATTTTGGTGTATACATTTTGTTTCCATAAAAATAAATTAATGTGATTCTAGCCTTGCGGTTGATAATTAAAATAGAAATATGAAGTCTATGCTCTTATGTAATGTAGACCATACTAATTGTTGTTTTAATCCTTTCAGACTGAAAAAGAAAACAAAGACCGTGTAGCTGCCTTTATAGACGGAACATCAGAATTTGTCAGACCAGATATTTCTCTCAAATTAAATCTCAATCCAGCCAATGAAATATCAGATTTTCCACAAGTGTCCCCATCAGAATCCTTGGAATCAGGAGAAGACAGTAGGCCGATATCACCATCATTGTCTAATACATGTAGACCTAGCTTGGCTCCAGAATATCATTTTCTTGTAGACCCATATTCTAAAGATGTTTTTATTGCAATTTTCAATGCTACTAAACTGAAATTATCAGGGAAAGGGTTTATTTTGTAAAAGAAATAATTTAAAGACAAAACTTTATTAGTACAAAACTTTTATACATGTGTGGTATTGTGACTTTATTAGCCGATTGATGGGATAAAAACAAGGAAATATTCTGGTTTTGTTTAAATAAGCATGCCATTGATTTTCAAAGTTTTGTGTTTTTCAAGCACCACACAACAAAAATGGGGGATACAAAAATTTTATATCAGAATATAACTGTGAAGATTATGTTTTTATGTTCGTATTTGTTTATTAATTATGTTTTATTTATTTAATAATGTTGCTATATGTCTTTGCTTTCTATGCAGTGATTATATATTTTATGTTAATGTGATTTTGAAGAGTTGATTCTTCAGAAGAGGGGGGTCACGTTGTCTATCTTTTTTTCAACCGATTGATTTTGATTGCTCCCTTTTATAATTTATAAATAATAAGGTGTACGTGTTGATTACAGAACAATGAAGTTATATTTGTGTAAATAATAAGTTAAGAAGGTAATGGTTAACTTGGTACCATGGCTACACTCTAGTTTATCTTACAGCCGATTTCATTGAGTGTGTAGGAATAGGTAAAATCTTTGGTTAGCTTGCTTGCTAGCTGAACCGTGAAGTCATTATTAGGTTAGGTAAACTACCCTCCTTTATGAGTAGACTAGTCTGACAGACAGATAGAATTGGTTATCTGTGGGACTAGTCTACTCATAAGGAGGGTAGTTTACCTAACCTTATAATGACTTCACGGTTCAGCTAGCAAGCAAGCTAACCAAAGATAATACCTATTCCTACACACTCAATGAAATCGGCTGTAATTGTTTTTTGTGATCAGAGAAAAGTTTAAAAGATAATGATGGTGGTTGAGTGCTTTTTATTCATATGTTGTGATGTTAAACCACTGTTCTAGGTTAGGGGGCAGTTAAATGCACCTAAACTTATTTTAAAGTATACTGGTCATACAAACATTACAAACAAAACTTCATTCTTAATTACTTGTGTGTTGTCTCCCTTGTTTTTTTCTTATGAGTGTGTTGTCTCCCTTGTTTTTTTCTTATGAGTGTGTTGTCTCCCTTGTTTTTTTCTTATGAAATAAACCTACATTTAATGTAAAGGTATGATTCTCATATAATTTATTTTATTATAATTATAATGAGGAAGATATTCTGCTGATTAGTGGTTCTGTTATGAGGAGGAGAAATAAATTATTTAAATACTCGTTCTGCTGTTATTTGTATGGAAAGGAAGGAATGGGCTGTAATAATAAACAGCATTAAATCAGAAGCACAGGAAGAAGGCTTCTTTTGCTATTCATCAATTTTGTCTCAGCAAGGTTTCAACTGGATCAATCTAAATTCTGACAAACCCCTAATTATACCCCCTGCTTTCTTGTGATGGGGAGTCCTTCAGTCTGTTATGTCGTTGTTTTCTTTGTCCCATATTTAACTAACCTGGCCTGTTATATTACGTGGCGTCTGGGGTCCTTAGATCGTTGTAAAATCTTCTCCTCTGAAACTACTGGGCCAACTGTTATCAAACTTTACCTAAATATTCCTTAGGGGTCTAAAAACTGTATCTAGGATTTTGATCCATCAACAAACATGGCCTCTGTTGCTAAAAATATATCATGGGGGTAAAATGCAGTTTTTGGCTGATATCTCAAAAAACTTCAGCAATCTGTGCAATCCGAGCAAATCAGACACCGTGTCAATATGATCAGCAGGTCAAGGCCTATCTGCTGCGAATTAAAAAAAAAGACATGACACTAATAAAAAGGAAGATATGACACTAACAAGAATTCTGTGAGTATTGCATGGCAATACATAGTCCACTACCGGTTACAAATTCATTGTAATCGAACGAAATTCTAAATTGATCTATAACTTTGTCATGGTGTAAACTTCATAAAAATATCAAGTCAAAATTTTCAAGCATGACAAAAAAAACTGTTGAAAACTGATTATTTAAGTGAATTTTCTATGTCCAAAGACCATAACTCTGCACAAAATTATCAGACTGGAACAAAATTCCAACTTGATCTGTAACTTGTCATGATAAAACTATATACTAATTATCAAATCAATATCTTCAAGAATGACAAACAAACCTACCACTAAATTCTTCAAACAATTTACCAAAGAAAAGGAAAAAAATCCAAAATGTCATTTTGTCTTTTAAAGTCTTTTAAAAAATGAGTTATTTCCCTTTGAACAGAAATCTACTAATTAATAAGTATTTCATCAAAAATTTAATTCTAGGGAAAGGGCTTTAACTGAACAAAGAGATAAGCTAAAATCGTGAAAATTGAACTTGACCTGTAACTTGTCATGATAAAACAATAAACCAAATATCAAATCAATATCTTCAAGCACGAAGAAAAAAAGTCTGGAAAACTGATTTGCCGGACTGACAGATGGACAGACAGACAGACGGACGGAGTGCAAACCTAAAGTCCCCTTCTACTTTGTCGGTAGGGGACTAATAAAAAAGAAGACATGATCACTAATAAAAAGGAAGATATGACACCAATAAACAATTCACCAAAGTTTTATACAAATTGGTGAAAGCATTTTTGAGTTAATGTCCAACATGTTGACGACGGACAGACGGACAGAGGTATACCATAATACATCCCGTAAATGGGCGTATAAAAAGAAGACATGATCACGAATAAAAAGGAAGATATGACACTAATAAAAAAGAAGACATGATCACTAATAAAAAGGTAGATATGACACTAATAAAAAAGAAGACATGATCATGAATAAAAAGGAAGATATGACACTAATAAAAAAGAAGACATGATCACGAATAAAAAGGAAGATATGACACTAATAAAAAAGAAGACATGATCACGAATAAAAAGGAAGATATGACACTAATAAAAAAGAAGACATGATCACTAATGAAAAGGAAGATATGACACTAATAAAAAAGAAGACATGATCACTTATAAAAAGGAAGATATGGCACTAATAAAAAAGAAGACATGATCACGAATAAAAAAGAAGATATGACACTAATAAAAAAGAAGACATGATCACGAATAAAAAGGAAGATTGTCAATTAACATGTGTTAGGAAACTGACAATCCTTGTCAATCATTTGTTAGGACACTGACAATCCTTGTCAATTAACATGTGTTAGGACACTGACAATCCTTGTCAATTAACATGTGTTAGGACACTGACAATCCTTGTCAATCATTTGTTAGGACACTGACAATCCTTGTCAATCATTTGTTAGGACACTGACAATCCTTGTCAATCATTTGTTAGGACACTGACAATCCTTGTCAATTAACATGTGTTAGGACACTGACAATCCTTGTCAATTAACATTTGTTAGGACACTGACAATCCTTGTAAATTAACATTTGTTAGGACACTGACAATCTTTGTCAATCATTTGTTAGGACACTGACAATCCTTGTCAATCATTTGTTAGGACACTGACAATCCTTGTCATTAACATTAAAATTGAGCGCACCTGCCATATGCGGGATTGGAACTCACAACCTTGGTATTGACATGCTAGTGATACAGTAGTTTGACTACTTAGACCACTCAGCCACCAAGGCCCCTCTAATAACAAGAGGCTCATGAGAGCCTGATATCGCTCACCTGCAGTTTAAGGCATTTGACTTATTTTTAGATCTTACTTTGCTGAACAATTTTGTCATTTACACTTTCTCTCTTTCTATAATAATATTAAAGATAATACATAACCCAAAACTGTAAAATTTCCTAAAAAATAACTATTTCTGGAAGTAACCGTACAATAAGTTGTCCTATTGGTCTGAAGATAACTTGACAGGTAGATCTAAACCCTTTTAACACTTTCACCTATGTCAGTTTTGCTCTTACTGCTTTAGTTTTTGAGATGAAAGCCAAAAACTTAAATTGACCCCTATGTACTATTTTTAGAAACTGCCGCCATGTTTTTCAATGGATCAAATCCCCGATTACTATCTATAAACAAAATGCCCCCAGGAACAATGAAGTTTTTACGTATTTGGCCAAGTAGTTTCAGAAGATTTTTGAAAAAGTAATTAGACTAATTTGACCCCTATGTTCTATTTTTAGCCATGGTGGCCATGTTTGTTAATGGATCAAAACTTTGGATACAATTTATAAACCAGTTACCCTAAGGAACATTCAGTTAAAGTTTAGAAGTATTAAGCCCAGTTGTTTCATCAGAGAAGATTTTTAAATGTTAGCAAACATGATGAACAAATTGTGTTTAAAGGGCAATAACTCCTTAAGGGGTCAATTGACAATTTTGGTCATATGAACTTTTTTGTAGATCTTACTTTACTGAACATTTTTGCTGTTTACACTTTATCTTTATCTTCAATAATATTCAAGATAAAAAACAAAAACTGCAAAATTTCCTTAAAATTACCAATTTAGTGGCAGCAGCTTTACAATGGGTCGTTCAGTTCATCTGAAAATTTGAGGGCTGATAGATCTTGGCCTATTGAACATTTTTACCCCTGTCAGATTTGCTCTAAATGCTTTAGTTTTTGAGATATAAGCCAAAAACTGCAATTGACCCCTATGTTCTATTTTTAGCCATGGCGGCCATGTTTGTTGATGGAACAAAACTTCGGATACAATTTATAAACTAGATACCCAAAGGAACATTCAGTTAAAGTTTGAAGTTATTTGGCCCATTAGTTTCAGAGGAGAAGATTCTTGAAATAGTTTACAACGACGGATGCCAAGTGATGGCAAAAGCTCACATGGGGCCCTTTGCGCCTGGTGAGCTAAAAAGGAAGACATGACACTAATAAAACAGAAGATACGACACAATTGGGGAAGACATGACACTTAAAAATAGTAAAGACATGACATTATTAATAAGAAAGACATGACACTAAAAAAGTAAAGACATGACACTAATAATAAGAAAGACATGACACTAATATTAAAAAAGACATGACACTAAAAAAGGGAAGATATGACACTAAGAATAAGAAAGACACAATACTCATAAAAATATCAAGAAATCATCAGTAAAATATTACAAAGAAACAAATCTGAAAAAACAGTGTTTTACAGCTAACTATGTCTTGTATGTGGTATGGGTTTTGCTCATTGTTGAAGGCTGTGTGTTAACTTCTACGTCATTTGGTCTCTGGTGGAGAGTTTTCCATTTTGCAGTCATACCACATCTTTTTATTTTTATATCATAATCTGTTTTGAGAACTCTAGCACCATGTGTGAGGATACTCACTATAACATGGAGAGAAGTGCGGCAGGATTGTGACCACAAAGACAGAAACATAATCAGTGGTAATGTGGGACACAACCTGGATAACATGCTATCATACCACACTCTAGATAACATGCTATCATACCACACTCTAGATAACATGCTATCATACCACACTCTGGATAACATGCTATCATACCACACTCTACCACATCTTCTTATTTAAATGAACAAAATAAATGACGGGCTGATCAGTATTATATTCAGTACTGTCCCATCTTCGCTAGCCAAGGGTTACGATCCACTTCCCTCCTCTCCACCCTTGGCAGATTGAGATAGAATTTCGGAGACACAAGGTAATGATTTTCATTGGTTGCAGTTGAAACTCGCTGCATCCAATCAAAAAGCGCCTATAACATGATCACGTGTAAATGTAGAAAGTGTATGTAAACAATTGCCACGTGCTTATTGTGCAAAAAGTCTTTACATCCCTAAACATACGACTATATTTAGTGACAATTTGAATGTTTTTAATCAACTAATAGAAGTTCCTGTGTATGTTTCTTGCACAAATGCATGAATGTCAACGTATATTTTCGTTTCCTGCTTTACCAAGTGTGTAGAATCTAGACGCTACCATGTTTTTACCTCCAAATTGGAGAGTTCAAGTGCTACCATTGGTCAAGAATAATGTATTCGGAATGGGCGTGACTTTAATCTACCGATAGATGACCCAACATTGTTATTACAAATGTTGGCTTAATTTGCAAAGGGTGGAGAGGAGGAAAGTGGATCATAACCCTTGGCTAGCGAAGATGGTACTGTCCTTGCACACAAAAATATTAGAACTATATATGTCTATAAGACACATGAACATAAGAAATTATCTATAACCATGATAACTAAACTGAATGTAATTAAAATAAATAATTTATTTATAACAAAATAAACAAATATAAACAACAAACTAATGCCTTCAGTCTCTATGTAAATTATATCATTAATCATACTGTAAAATGGATAATTTTTGCTGAGTTTTCTAGGTATAAGTCTTCTTAGACTTTCTTGTCCTCTCTTTTGATCTTCCTAAACAATCAACATAAAGTGAGGGGATATGTTCAATGAAATAATCTGAATTGCAACATCAGTCCTCATACTTGAACCTCAGTGAATATAACAAAGGTCTTTCATGTATATATTATATATATCTCATCTATAGGATCTTCTGTTTTGCTGACTAAATTTATTATCAAGTTATCTATAATCTTTCTAGTTTATTTATAAGTTAATGTTAAGTTACATGAACAAAGTTTCCAGATAAAATGTATCAGTTCTTATTTTCCAAGATGTTATCTGAATTGAAAATTAGCAAAATTAAACCCATCACAACTATTTTCGACTTTATAGCACTAGAATCTGATTATAACGTCTCTCTTTGAATTACTCACACTACACTATCTTGACTGAAAACTAACATAAAATGTAACAGATTTTTGGAAATTTTATACAAAACAGTTTAGACAAAAGAGGGAGAAGTTTATGTAGCATACTTACTTCATTATTTTTATTATTAAAAAATAAAAATTTAATTTAGGGTGTTTTTCAAATAGGGGAAGCCAGAATTTGATAGAACAATTAAATCTAAACCTGGCCAGTCACAGTCATTAATATATAAAAAATATCAATTCTAAGATTCAGTCTGAAGTTGTTGCCCCAAAAACAATAAACTGCTTCGCCGAGCGCAGTTGGATACGACTGCAGAGGTCCAACCCGGAACAGTTGGGGCAATAATGGACACAATATTCAAGCTTGATACAGGTCTGAATTTAGATTGTAATTAAATATTTGACACATTATAGGTTTCTGACACAGAATAAATGTAGTCAAAGAACTTGAAATTGGTTACATGATTTGAATTTATATTCAATTGACGATTTCTTGCTGTTGTGCAATACACTGTAGTAAATCTGTTTTCAGATACCTTGGTAAAAATGGAGGAAATGGTCTAAACCCCAACTTTTTACACTTAAACTGAAGTTATTGTCCGGAAACCAAATTTCGGACAACGATGACGTGATAGCAATATACGACCCAAAAATTTTTTGCGGTTATATAAAAATCAATTTGAATTGATAAGACGAAAGAAATTAAAGAACAATTCTACATTGTTCAAAGTATGCTTCAAACTTACCAAAATACAGAAATGTCCAGATTTAAACAACTTCAAAAATGACAAGCAGCATGAATCTTTCAAAACAATGATCAGATGATTTTAAAGAGAATAATTTTATGTGAGTTTAAGGGAGGGGTTAAATTTGTGCCTCTTACTCAATTTGTTAATGATTTCTTACACAGTCCATAGGGTTAATAGATAATTGATAGATAGATGTAACAAATAATAAAAGATTTCCCGTAATAATTTTCACTAAGATACATTAAGAGGTCCCTCTAAACAGCTCTCTCCAAAGCTATAATGTCAACTTGACCATTTTGGTGCATTATCCACTTCTAACTAGATACTTTAAATCCATGAAAAAGTTACATACATTAAATAAATAACTTTCAATATCAGACTTATAGTAAATATACAATGTGTGCTGTCAAGCTGCAATGTCTAACATCCACACAATTTCCTGGTCAGACAACAAAGCAGTTCTATTGCACAAACATTTCTTTAAAGATCTTCTGCATGAGATTTCTACATCAGAACTAAGGGTTTAACAATATCAGTCCTCCAACTTTAACCTCAGTGAATACCACAAAGATCTTCTGTATGAGATTTCTACATCAGAAATAAGGGTTTAACAATATCAGTCCTCCAACTTCAATCTCAGTGAATATCACACAGGTCTTTCATATATATATATATGTAACACTGATAAGATCTCCCTTTTTGTGAATTTCAAACTTAATTCATTTTACTATACATTTAATCTTTGGTGTTCATTTATTAGATATGGGTCTATAATGTAACGTCAGATCACCACTCTGTTTCCAGATAAAATGTTTGACAGTCCTTAAGTCCATGTTGGCATCCAAGACCTGCAAATATAAAGATAAGTTCTCACTGTTGAGCTGATATTCAGGAAAATGTGTATCTCACCATGGCTAAAAACTTTAAAACGACATTAGTCACCAAAGGAGTTGGTCCAGTAAGGGACCTTATGGTCCAAATATTAAGTCCATTGTTTCAAGATGAAAAGTGTTTTAAAGTGAGAGAAAGTGAAAAAGGATGATTTTTGTCAAATTTTTCTTACAAAGCCCTGCCTAGGAGGAGGAAACATAAAGCACAGACTTGACAAATATTCAAGTAAGATATATAGGTCACTTGTTATTACAAACAAAAGGTTAAAAAAATTCTGTGTGGTTTCTAATGACTGACTGTAATTAGTTTTGTTTGTTTTTACATTGACCCATGATTGGTGTAAATAAAATCAAGAGTTATTTCCCTTTGACTCATGTTTTTTTTCCATGTAGGAAGACATTAAAAAGAATTTTTTTCTTCATAAAATCTGAATAAATTAATTAATAACAAAAGTATGAACTTCTGTTTGAAACAACAAAATGTTAAGAATATTCTGGAATTTAGAGTTAAATCATGCTTATTTGTTGATTTTGATATATAAAAAAATGAACATTTTATTTCAAGAATTGTTGCTTGCTTAACTGGTAATTGACACTGGATGTTGATCAAGTTACAATCAATGAAATAAAATGTCATTTGCCTGTTACAATTACAATTATAATATGGAAATTCTTTATCATATTATTTAATTTCAGATGCCATACCTGTTCATTGCACAATAATTCTACTTTCTCTTCTGTCATTGCCATACCTGTTCATTGCACAATAATTCTACCTTCTCTTCTGTCATTGCCATACCTGTTCATTGCACAATAATTCTACTTTCTCTTCTGTCATTGCCATACCTGTTCATTGCACAATAATTCTACTTTCTCTTCTGTCATTGCCATACCTGTTCATTGCACAATAATTCTACTTTCCCTTCTGTCATTGCCATACCTGTTCATTGCACAATAATTCTACTTTCCCTTCTGTCATTGCCATACCTGTTCATTGCACAATAATTCTACTTTCTCTTCTGTCATTGCCATACCTGTTCATTGCACAATAATTCTACTTTCTCTTCTGTCATTGCCATACCTGTTCATTGCACAATAATTCTACTTTCTCTTCTGTCATTGCCATACCTGTTCATTGCACAATAATTCTACTTTCTCTTCTGTCATTGCCATACCTGTTCATTGCACAATAATTCTACTTTCTCTTCTGTCATTGCCATACCTGTTCATTGCACAATAATTCTACTTTCCCTTCTGTCATTGCCATACCTGTTCATTGCACAATAATTCTACTTTCTCTTCTGTCATTGCCATACCTGTTCATTGCACAATAATTCTACTTTCTCTTCTGTCATTGCCATACCTGTTCATTGCACAATAATTCTACTTTCTCTTCTGTCATTGCCATACCTGTTCATTGCACAATACCTGTTCATTGCACAATAATTCTACTTTCTCTTCTGTCATTGCCATACCTGTTCATTGCACAATAATTCTACTTTCTCTTCTGTCATTGCAGAATCTGATGATTTCTCTTTCTCTGTCTTCTCTCCTCCACCATTCCCTCCTGACTGTGACCCAGTTTCTGAACCCTGACCAAGAACTTTCTCATACACATGCTCTATGACCTTTCTAACCTGTATCATATCACTAGCTGACAATCTGTCTCTGTAATTGAAGATAGAACTCATGACAAACATACTTTAGAGGTCAATGGTAGGAGAGGATAAAGATGACAAATTACTGTAGTTACTGTGGACAGTTGCATAGAATGATACAACAATGAATAGAGTTTTAAACCTTTTTTCCTGGAGAACACAGTTTGTTTATATCTTAGTTTTCAGATGATTCTGTTTCCTGCAGGTGATAATGTTTACAGCTTTTATCTTAATTATCTTCATAAACAAATTATTTTCAGTGAGAATATTCTCTCTCTCATTTTTCAGAGTTTTAAAGCAAGTACTTAAGATATATGTAAAACAGATATAATGGTCCACAGTGAAGATGTTCAACACTTACTTTTTGATTGTTTTAATACCAGTACATGGATGAGGTTGTAAGAAGAATGGTATCTTATTGGATTTTGGTGTATTTCTCTGAAAAATACAAAAGTAGCTTTTCTTATAAGTTTCAATGTGTGAAGTCTTCAATTTTCGCTGAACTAGTAAACATAATTGTTAAGGGGCCAACTGAAGCCCGCCTCCAGGTGCATGATTTTCTCGTTGTGTTGTGACTATGACACATCCCCTCTTGCCATGCTCAATTTTATTCAATGCGAATTCTACTATGATAATACTCTGATTTACAAACATATATTTTTGTTAACCAAATTTTTACTGACTGTATGGAATGATCTTTCTAACAGAAAAATGTTTAACATGGTTTAAAAAAAAACAACATCTAATTAACACAGATTTAATTTTACAAAGCAGATACATCGGTTTTTTGGCTATTGAATATTTAGTAGTGAATTCATTGACATCAAGATTAAATAAAATTTTGAAATCTCAATAAAATTCTCTGTTTCTGTCAAATAAAAATGAGAAAATGAATAAAATCATTTCAATGCATCAATATTCTGTACAACACAAATAACTTTTTGAATACAGTTCCATAAATTAAAGATCATTTGGAATTTTTAACAAGAAATTGATATCAAACAAGAAAACATAATCCCTAGATGTCAACATACATGAACAACAACATCCACAACCCAGGAAGGTACTGTCTCATTCAGTAACATTTGTTCTGTGTCTCCTCCAGCATCTCTGGCTAATAGTCTGAATAGAGCTCTGCCTCCAACCTCACAGAATATGACAGGTGTATGACCAGGAACACAGAAGTAAGGTTGACAGGCGTCACCTGCACCACTGTCTGTCATCATACCATTTATATTATCTGTAAATAATATCAATACTCAACATTAAACCTCGGTGAATATGACAGGTGTATGACCAGGAACACAGAAGTAAGGTTGACAGGCGTCACCTGCACCACTGTCTGTCATCGTACCATTTATATTATCTGTAAATAATATCAATACTCAACATTAAACCTCAGTGAATATGACAGGTGTATGACCAGGAACACAGAAGTAAGGTTGACAGGCGTCACCTGCACCACTGTCTGTCATCATACCATTTATATTATCTGTAAATAATATCAATACTCAACATTAAACCTCACAGAATATGACAGGTGTATGACCAGGAACACAGAAGTAAGGTTGACAGGCGTCACTTGCACCACTGTGTGTCATCATACCATTTATATTATCTGTAAATAATATCAATACTCAACATTAAACCTCAGTGAATATGACAGATGTATGACCAGGAACACAGAAGTAAGGCTGACAGGTGTCACCTGCACCACTGTCTGTCATCATACCATTTATATTATCTGTAAATAATATCAATACTCGACATTAAACCTCAGTGAATATGACAGATGTATGACCAGGAACACAGAAGTAAGGTTGACAGGCATCACCTGCACCACTGTCTGTCATCATACCATTTATATTATCTGTAAATAATATCAATGCTCGACCTGAAACCTAGGTGAATATGACAATGGTAGGAATGACAGGTGTAAAAGGAAATCATATCACCTGACTGCCTACTACATTATCACTCATATGAGCTCTGATGAATTATATAGATACTTTTTCTATATATATGAAAATATACCAACTTAATTGTACAATTTGAAAGTACTGTGTTCTGCCCTGTTTTTTCTTTCAATGTTGGTAGTGTTTTATCAGGGCGTTTAATTTCAAGATTTTTATATTCATTCTCGTTATTAGAAAAAAAAAGTTTTATATTAATTTATAAATTTTAGTATGCTTCTTCTCCTGATATCCAATATCCTGGGGGCATGAATATTAATATTTGACATTAACCTTCAAATATAGGATTCTTTGGCAAATTTTCTACTTAATTTAGTCTTTTACATGTATCTTTAATTGTATGTGTCTTTGTCCAATATTCTAGTAAAGCTTGCAGTATGTTCTTATTTTGACAAGAAAATGTATGCTATACCTTGACCTTTTCAATATATATGTGTCTTAGGCCAGTATTTCAGTATTTTTTTAGTATGACATTACCTTGACCTTTAAATATGTGTGCCTCAGGTCTAAGGGTCCGGAAACGGTCATATTTGCCAGACATGACAGAATCTGAAATCCAAATGTCCTAAACGACAAATTGGGATTTAGGAAAAATTTTAGTTTTTTACAGAAATAATTTCGGTCATTTCGTTGAGATCGGGTTTCTTAATTGCTATTTTGCACTTGTTTTAGTTTTGTTATCCCTTTCCTGTAATAAAACTGCCACTCCAGTATAGTATTATTATTCTGAGGGCCCCCTTGATAACTATGTTAATGCCTCCGGGAAATATTGGCTAATGATCCGCTAATCTCTTTTTACCTGTGTTTTTAATTCACACCTGAGTCCTGACATGGATCACAAGCTCAGAACTAATATTATAAAGTAATTAAAATTCCATGACAACTGTCATCTTTATTTAATTACTTTTCAGCGAAGACAATCGTCAATTTTGATTTAACAAGAGTGCACACGCTGAAATGTCTCGCCTTCTTTACTAATCATTGATATTATGTTGATAGTCCTAAATATAAAGCTTTATTACAACTGACACATAAACTTAACATTAACCAAGTAAACTAAACATTGACCAATGAACCATGAAAATGAGGTCAAGGTCAGATGAACCATGCTAGGCAGGCATGTACAGCTAACAATTCTTCCATACAACAAATAGAGTTGACCTATTGCTTATAGTTTAAGAAAAACAGACCAAAACACAAAAACTTAACACTGAGCAATGAACCTTGAAAATGAGGTCAAGGTCAAATAAAACCTGCGTGACTGCCAAATAGATCATAAAATATTTCCATACACCAAATATAGTTGAACTATTGCATATAGTATAAGAAAAACAGACCAAAACACAAAAACTTAACTATAACCACTGAACCATGAAAATGAGGTCAAGGTCAGATGACACCTGCCAGTTGGACATGTACACCTTACAGTCCTTCCATACACCAAATATACTAGACCTATTGCTTATAGTATCTGAGATATGGACTTGACCACCAAAACTTAACCTTGTTCATTGATCCATGAAATGAGGTCGAGGTCAAGTGAAAACTGTCTGACGGGCATGAGGACCTTGCAAGGTACGCACATACCAAATATAGTTGAACTATTGCACATAGTATTAGAAAAAAAGACCAAAACTCAAAAACTTAACTTTGACCACTGAACCATGAAAATAAGGTCAAGGTCAGATGACACCTGCCCGCTAGACATGTACACCTTACAATCATTCCATACACCAAATATAGTAGACCTATGGCATACAGTATAAGAAAAACAGACCAAAACACAAAAACTTAACTATAACCACTGAACCATGAAAATGAGGTCAAGGTCAGATGACACCTGCCAGTTGGACATGTACACCTTACAGTCCTTCCATACACCGAATATACTAGACCTATTGCTTATAGTATCTGAGATATGGACTTGACCACCAAAACTTAACCTTGTTCACTGATCCATGAAATGAGGTCGAGGTCAAGTGAAAACTGTCTGACGGGCATGAGGACCTTGCAAGGTACGCACATACCAAATATAGTTATCTTATTACTTATAATAAGAGAGAATCTAACATTACAAAAAATCTGAACTTTTTTTTCAAGTAGTCACTGAACCATGAAAATGAGGTCAAGGACATTGGACATGTGACTGACGGAAACTTCGTAACATGAGGCATCCATATACAAAGTATGAAGCATCCAGACCTTCCACCTTCTAAAATATAAAGCTTTTAAGAAGTTAGCTAACGCCGCCGCCGCCGCCGTAGCCGCCGCCGCCGCCGCCGGATCGCTATCCCTATGTCGAGCTTTCTGCGACAAAAGTCGCAGGCTCGACAAAAATTAAAACTTAATTTAATTTACGTGGTAAAAGTAATTTTTCACGAGTAACACATGTGCTTTATTTACTATGTAATATGCATGCGTGAAATTCTCCTCAGCAGATTAGACACTTAATGGTAAAATGCAAAATGATTTCATGCTAAATAAAACAAGTGCAACTATTATCTGTCATATTCAAACACTTTTAAAGTTAAAAAATAAAAAAGCCGGCGATTTCCTGTCAATTTGATAAACAAAACGAATCATGGAAATGAGTCCGGAAATACTCGTACATTAGTATTGTTGCAAAACATCTGGTTTTAATTTTGTCTTCAAAATCGAAAGAAACAATGTCTGAGAAATTTACCATTTTGAGTCATCAAAATCGTTTCATTTTAAACTGTTGCCTTCCCTTAACTGTTCTTGAACGTTTTTTGGAAAAATGGTAAGAAATTCATGAAGAAAATGTGATGAAACAGTCAAAAGACAATACAGGTTCATTGATGCTATGAATCTAGTGTGATTTCGACAATTATTTTTTGATAAGGCACCTACTTTTAAGTTATCTCAAAATGACCGAAATTGTGTGAAAAATTCCGTATCCATGCTCAGGTCAGTATTCTAGTATTGTGTTAAGTGTGATCTTACCTTGACTTTCAAATATGTGCCTTAGTCCAGTGTTCCAGTAATTCTATAAGTGCGACTTTACCTTGACCTTTAAATATATATGTGTTTTAGCCAGTGTTTCAGTTATGGTTTTTAACATGTGACCTTACCGACAAATATACATGTTTTAGACCAGTGTGATCTTACCTTGACCTTCAAATATATGTGTTTTAGGTGAGTGTGATCTTACCTTGACCTTCAAATATATGTGTTTTAGACCAGTGTGATCTTACCTTTACCTTCAAGTATATGTGTTTTAGGTGAGTGTGATCTTACTTTGACCTTCAAATATATGTGTTTTAGGCCAGTGTGATCTTACCTTGACCTTCAAATATATGTGTTTTAAACCAGTGTGATCTTACCTTGACCTTCAAATATATATGTTTTAGGGAGAGTTGTATCTTACCTTGACCTTCAAATATATGTGTTTTAGGCCAGTGTTCCAGTAATGCCTGAAGCAGCTGCTGCCCAATATTTACTGAAAATAAATTCAAGATATTAGTTAGTAATTAAAATTGAAGTGTTGTGTTACAAATTTCTGTTTTAACAAAACATATATCCACTTAAATATTTCTGATTTTATACATGTATGTAATAGTAACATGCATGTTTTTTTAAAAGTTTAATGTGCTCTGATTTTACAAAATCCCAAAATGTAATAAAATGCTCCGCTGGGGCGCAGCTTGATACGACCACAGAGGTCGAAACCCTGAACAGTTGGGGCAAGTATGGACACAACATTCAAGCTTGATACAGACCTGAATTTGGATTAATCATTATAATTAAATATTTGACACAGCATAGGTTTCTGACACAGAATGAATGTGGTCTAAGAACTTAAAAATTTTTAATTTACCTATTCAAACCATATCATTATTATTTGCTTTTATATATAAATCAGAAATAAGCAATTTAAAATGGAAAATTTTAAAGAAAAAAAAGGAAAAAAAATCCCCCCCACAAATTTTTTGAACACCCTTATGATTCATCACCCCCAAACTCAATCCCAGCCTTCCCTTTTTGGTATGGTACCTTGCAGTACAATTTCAGGGAGATCCATACACTTGAACACAAGTTATTGTCTGGAAACTAGTAAATGCTTGTTTTTTTGGCCCCAAATTCCTAAACGTTTAAGGCAATTACCCCCCAAACTCAAACCTAGCTTTCCCTTTGTGATATGGAACCTTGTAGTACAATTTCATAAAGATCCATACACTTACACACAAGTTATTGTCCTGAAACTAGAAAAATGCCCCTTTATGGCCCCTAATTCCTAAAATTTTGAGGGAATTACCCCAAAAATCAATCCCAGCCTTCCCTTTGTGGTATGGTACCTTGCAGTACAATTTCAGAGAGATCCATACACTTGAACACAAGTTATTGTCTGGAAATTAGAAAAATGCTTATTTTTGGCCCCTTTTTGGCCCCTTATTCCTAAACGTTTTGGGCAATTACCCCCAAACTCAAGTCCAGCTTTCCCTTTGTGATATGGAACCTTATAGTACAATTTCATAAAGATCCATACACTTACACACAAGTTATTGTCATGAAACTAGAAAAATGCTTGTTTTTTGCCCCTTTTTGGCCCCTAATTCCTAAAATTTGGGGGCAATTTCCCCCAAAATCAATCCCAGCATTCCCTTTGTGATATGGAACCTTGTGGTACAATGTCAGAGAGATCCATACACTTACACACAAGTTATTGTCATGAAACTAGAAAAATGCTTGTTTTTTGCCCCTTATTCCTAAAATTTGGAGGAATTACCCCCAAAATCAATCCCACCATCCCCTTTGTGATATGGAACCTTGTGGTACAATGTCAGAGAGATCCATACACTAACACACAAGTTATGTCTGGAAGTTACAAAAATGCTTATTTTTGGCCCCTTTTTGGCCCCTAATTCCTAAACTGTTAGTACCATAACCCCCAAAATCAATCCCCACCTTCTTTTTGTGGTATTGAACCTTATGGTAAAATTTCATAGAGATCCATTTACTTAAACTAAAGTTAGAGTGCGAAAATCAATGTGTCTTCGGACGACGACGACGCTCCAACGTCATACCAATAGACGACCGCATAAAAACTGATTCAAATCTATCAAACCACTGATCAAACTAGAAATAATTCTTTTAGAACATTTCTGTTATTGTTACCATGTCAACAGTTGGCAGGAAAGTCATAAAAAAAAGACAGCCGTTAGAATTGGTGGCAAAGTTTGAAAATTGACTTCTGGCATTAGAGATGATCTTTTAATGTTCTTTTTTTCATAGTATTTTATTTGCATCAATCTTGGACTGGTTTGCTATGCCTTTGTCAGTAGTGATTTCAATGAACTGAATCTATGCATCACATAAATCATTAAGTCAGATTTTTCATTACCACTTTAAAAAAAAAAATTTTTTAAAAACCTTCACTAAATTCTTTCATAGATACAAATATTTGGTTTGTAAGTTTGGCTGTACATTAAACTTATTACTAACAGGATAGAACATCCTAATTTTTACAGTGATGTTGTTTATAGAGCCTGTTACGTTCAATAAGATCTTTGAATACTGTTTTATTGGTACAAACATTAATTTTGTTATCAATAAATTAAAATGTGACTTAATATTATTGCTACACAGCTATAAACATTAACAGTCTTCCATCCTGTCAATACTTATATCCTATCATTGCACAAGATCATATTTTTTCTCTGTCTGTGTATGAATTCTCTACACTAAATTAATTGGATGTGTACTGATTGATATTTTAGTCATGGACATTTTTTTTTATTACCTGTTAATGGCTTTGTACTAGCTTTAGTAACTACTCCCAGTTTGATACTTAGTGTCTTAAACTTTTTTGTTAGTTGTTGTTTTTCCTGTGCTTTGTGTTGATGGAATGAGTAAATTCCTTTTCAACTGATTTTTACAGTTTGTTCTTATCATGTGCTTTTACACCACGGTCCCAGGTTAGAGGAGGGTTAGGCAAACTTCATTTACCCCGCCACATTCTGTATGTGTTTGTCAGGTGCCAATAATTCAGTGGTTGTCATTTGTTGCTGTATTATGTATATCATATTTGTTTTTTGTTAATTGTTCTGTACATAAATCAGGCTATTAATTTATTCTTTTAAATTGTTTTACCTTTGTCATTCATGTCAGGGTTTGCTATGCAGTATGGGTTTGCTTATTGTTGAAGGATGAACAGTGATCTATAGTTGCTAACTGTGACATCATTTGGTTGAAAGTTGTCTCATTAGCAATCATACCAAATCTTTTAATTTTTATATTTAATATCAGATTCTGATGTAATTTGAAAGGAAATCCAAAAAGGAGTATTTTTGCAGAAACTGGTTTTCATACCAATTTTTTTTACAGAATTATTTATGAAGAGCAGAAACTATCTTCCTGTTTGAAGAGAAGATCTTATAACTCTCCATTAAGACCAGACGTTGGTCTAATCATAGTTTGTTTTCAGTATCAGTGCTTCACCTTTAAGTTTATTGTTAGTAATGTCAGCTGTGTTTTTTGTTTGGCAGGAACATCAGATCAAATTGAAAATGGACTACCATAAATAGATATAAAAATAAGGTGTATGTAGATATAAGAAGATGTGGTATGAGTGCCAATGAGACAACTCTCCATCCAAGTCACAATTTATAAAAGTAAACCATTATAGGTCAAAGTACGGTCTTCAACACGGAGCCTTGGGTATGTTCTAGTAGATATAATAATAACAATCAACTCTCTGTAAGATAATTCACATGTGAAAACAAACATCCTTCCCATTGAACTATCAAATATATTGATCTATATTAAGTGTCAAGTCCAAATGACTCTGGTGGTTGTCCACTGTCAATGATAAAAATTAAATTTGGCAAAAAAATTATTGGTCTTACATTTAGTGTCGGTACTTTCATTAGCAGCAACTAGACCAAGTTCTTTGGCTGACATCCAGGCTGCAAAACAGTCTGATTCATCCAAGTGTATAGTTAATAACTGTAAAACATAGAAACAAAACAAATTAATCGGAGTGCATGGTTAAAACAAAGATGTGGAGTATAAACTTTCTATCTAGCTCAGATCAACAGCAAAAAATTGAAAACATGTAGGAATTAAATGCAATGTTTCCTATATAGAAAGGCACTTGATGTGTAGAAATTTGGAACATTTATTATCATGTTATTCCATGTCATTCCATGTAAAAAATTTCTAACATTTAATTACCCCTGTTTTAAGACTTACCCCTGTTTGCAGACTTACCCCTGTTTTCAGACTAACCCTGTTTTCTAACTTACCCCGTTCAGACTTACTCTGTTTTCTAACTTACCCCGTTCAGACTTAACCTGTTTTCTGACTTACCCTGTTTTCAGACTTACCCCTGTTTTCAGACTAACCCTGTTTTCTGACTTACCGCGTTCAGACTTACCCCGTTTTCTAACTTACCCCTGTTTTCAGGCTTACCCTGTTTTCTGACTTACCCCTGTTTAGACTTACCCTGTTTTCAGACTTACCCCTGTTTTCAGACTAACCCTGTTTTCTGACCTACCCCTGTTTTCAGACTTACCCTGTTTTCTGACTTACCCGTTTTCAGACTTACCCTGTTTTCTCACTTACCCCTGTTCAGACTAACCCTGTTTTCAGACTAACCCTGTTTTCTGACTTACCCCATTCAGACTTACCCTGTTTTCAGACTAACCCCTGTTTTCTGACTTACCCGTTTTCTGACTTATCCCTGTTCAGACCTACTCTTTTTTCTGACTTACCCCTGTTCAGACTTACCCCTGTTTTCTGACTTACCCCTATTTCAAGACGTACCCCTGTTTTTAGACTTATCCCTGTTTTCTGGCTTACCGCCATTTTCTGACTTACCCCTGTTTTCAGATCTACAGTAAACCAGTTTGGTACATAAACCATCTTAAATCTTTTCTTTATTTCATCTTCAAAATCTACCTTTCCCAAATCTTCAACTTTCCTGGCCTAGAAAAAGAAACAAAGTTTGCCTTATTCCTTCAGTTGTCTTTTAAATCTTGTATGATCAGGTTTTCATGAACTAAAATCAGTGCAAGCTTAAACCTGACCTAGATATAGGAAGATTACAAAAGTTACTATAATATGTTATATCTTTATTTTGTTATAAGTCAATGTAAGACCGCCCTAAGTTAACATTACAATTTATTTTCCTATCAACCTGTATTAAGGGAGAAAACTCAATTAAAAACTTATTTAATACATACCGTTTAGACATCCCACAATGCCACGTGTGTCAGTATCTTTGGTCAGAATGTGCCATTAATTATCTAATACATACCGTTAAGACGTCCCACAATGCCACATGATCGTCAGTATCTTTGGTCAGAATGTGTCTCTTGTCATTCAATACATAATACTGTCTAATGCTGGACCCACCTATAAATATATCATTTTTTATTAAATACTTTGTTTACAAAAACAAGTGGCTATTAGAAGTCTGGATCACTCCTCTGGTAAAAACATCAGTTATTGCTCAAAAGATTGGTTAGTTGTTGATTGCTTAATGTCCAGTGGCAAATATTTCATGCATATTCAGGACGAGAACAAATTAACATTTCATTTAACAGGTATGTCCTGTAATAGGGGTCGACCAGGATGAAGGGTGGGAAATTTGGACTGTCATTGGAAAATGAGGTTAAATTGGATAGGGACAGAAATTTTGCTTTGCATATTAAAGGCCACCGAGGGACCCATTAAGAGTTGTTGCAAGAGTTCTGAACCTGCAGAGTGTGGCACACTCTATACACGTGGCATTAGATTTAACATCCCCATTCCAACCCAGACATAGTTTCAAATTAATACATCCAAAACAACCAAATGTATGCCCCACTTTGGCAAAAGTTTTTCTGCCAGTCGGAAGATGACCAAGAGTGACCATATTCTATTGGCCACTTACCTTTGAGGTTCTGCTCAAAAGAAGATAAAATCAAACAAATCGAGCATCCAAACCATTGAATTCATCAATCGACTTTAATAACATGATTAGGTTAAATTACAGAAAAGAACACATATTCAAGTCTTTCATAAATATGTTCATTTTATTGATAAATGAATAGGTTATTATAATCTGGACACTTTAGTGCAGAATATTTCTTATGCTGTCACTATGACATCATAAACATGTAGAAATTTACATATTTGACCTAAAATGAACATTTCACACTTAATTTTTGTCAACATGTATATGAGCAGCAACTTTTAAAAAAAAAAGATTTTACACACATTGAAATATTTGTAAAATACATTTTGTAGCAAAAGATCTGTTTGGGTAAAGCTGTTCTCATTTCTAAATATTAATTACAAGATCTCAGAATGAGACTATTTTGGCACTTTTGGCTGTCTTGCACATAATGCCAATATGGACCACAAAATTCTAAAATATAAAAACTGATCTTAGACTAATGTCTTATGAACATCTGATGTAATTTGGTAGATATGTTATACTTTTTTATTTTGGAGTTGATTAGAAATAATTTTAAAAATCAATTAGTAAATGACAATAATAGTGAGCGTTGGCTAAATCACTAGATGGTACTGTATAGCTAGTGGACGTAACACTATAAATAATCTACCTTTGATGGTAAAATCTGGTTGTGTATAAATAGGTGAAACTGTATCGTTGTCGTAACCACCAGACATCCGCTTGGACACTTTCTGTAAAGGCTATAATTATATCAATAGATAATTGGACACTTTCTGTAAAGGCTATAATTATATCAATACATAATTGGACACTTTCTGTAAAGGCTATAATTATACCAATAGATAATTGGACACTTTCTGTAAAGGCTATAATTATACCAATACATAATTGGACACTTTCTGTAAAGGCTATAATTATACCAATACATAATTGGACACTTTCTGTAAAGGCTATAATTATACCAATAGATAATTGGACACTTTCTGTAAAGGCTATAATTATACCAATACATAATTGGACACTTTCTGTAAAGGCTATAATTATACCAATACATAATTGGACACTTTCTGTAAAGGCTATAATTATATCAATAGATAATTAGACACTTTCTGTAAAGGCTATAATTATACCAATACATAATTGGACACTTTCTGTAAAGGCTATAATTATATCAATAGATAATTGGACACTTTCTGTAAAGGCTATAATAATACCAAAAGATAATTGGACACTTTCTGTAAAGGCTATAATTATATCAATAGATAATTGGACACTTTGTGTAAAGGTTATAATTATACCAATACATAATTGGACACTTTCTGTAAAGGCTATAATTATACCAATAGATAATTGGACACTTTCTGTAAAGGCTATAATTATACCAATAGATAATTGGACACTTTCTGTAAAGGCTATAATTATACCAATACATAATTGGACACTTTCTGTAAAGGCTATAATTATACCAATAGATAATTGGACACTTTCTGTAAAGGCTATAATTATACCAATACATAATTGGACACTTTCTGTAAAGGCTATAATTATACCAATAGATAATTGGACACTTTCTGTAAAGGCTATAATTATACCAATACATAATTGGACACTTTCTGTAAAGGCTATACATGTGGAATTAAGTGGGAGGTAAATTGTAATAGCAATAAATATGTACAAAGCGAAAGAAGCGTGTCATATTGGAATTGATTTTATTTCCCATCAGCAAACCTATTGTTATACATTTGTTATTTCGGGGCCTTTTACAGCTGACTATGCGGTATGGGCTTTGCTCACTGTTGAAGGCCGTATGGTGACCTATAGTTGTCTCATTGTCAATCACACCACATATTTTTTATATATATTATCTATATCTATGATGTTTCCGGATTCTTGGTTCTTTTGTATAATTTTGAAATGGCCTTTTAAATACTTAGTTATATTTTCCTTTTTTTTTTTTGTCCTTCTTATTTTTAATGAATTTACAATTTAATATCAAACAAATGAATGAAGTAATACTTTACCCAGTTTTTGATACAAGAGTCTGTTGTTGCTACCCATAATGATGGTTGTTCTACATTGGATAATTCAAGCTGTAAAATAAACGTCATGTATAAATGAAGCAGGTAACCAGTCAAGATAATGTCATGTAAAACTTGTTACTATTGGATAACTCAAGCTGTAAAATAAACCAGTCAGGATAATATAGCAGATTACCAGCAGGAAACCAGTCAAGATAAATATAGCAGGTAACCAGTCAAGATAAGTATAAAGTGTTACTAGTGGATAATTCCTAACTAGAAAAAAAATATTAGAGAATTGAAAACATCTGTTGTTATTACGTAGTTCAATAAACTTCTAAAACAGAGATATGTCTCGCCTGCATGTCATTTTTATCATTAAATGCAAATGTTGAAATTAAAGTAACAAAATGCAAAATATTCAAATTCAGTGAACCATGACTGAAGGTACAAGGCAAAATAATTTGTGAGGAAATAATACATGCCAATGCTCTTACAACTGCATACCAACTATCATTGGGTAATCATACCTGGTTCCCAATTAACCGACCTAATCACAAACTATAAACATATAAAATGTGCTCAAAACTAAAGTTTAGAGGTCGATAGACCATGACTGAGAGAGTAGAGCCAAATAATCTTTATGAAAATCATATGTGCCAATGCTTATACAACTGCATCCCAAACATCATTAACTAATGATCATCACAAGAGGTTCCCCTTAAACTGACTTAATCACAAACTTTAACAAATAGTTGCCGCCAGTTGGTCATAACAACAAGAAATAATCTTAAAAAGTAGGTCATTTTCTCCATACCCAATTTACCCTTAACAATTTTTTTAAATGGACTGGTCATTGTTTTTGAATCTTATGCCATTCGATTGGATGAAGTTATTATTGCCTTCCCCATTACCTGTTTGTCCTGTGTGTATTATGTCACATTGTTATTGAATTCTATGTCATTCGATTGGATGAAGTTATTATTGCCCTCACCTTTAACTGTTCGTCCTGTGTGTATTATGTCACATTGTTATTGAATTCTATGTCATTCGATTGGATGAAGTTATTATTGCCTTCACCTTTAACTGTTTGTCCTGTGTGTATTATGTCACATTGTTATTGAATTCTATGTCATTCGATTGGATGAAGTTATGATTGCCTTCACCTTTAACTGTTTGTCCTGTGTGTATTATGTCACATTGTTATTGAATTCTATGTCATTCGATTGGATGATGTTATTATTGCCTTCACCTTTAACTGTTTGTCCTGTGTGTATTATGTCACATTGTTATTGAATTCTATGTCATTCGATTGGATGAAGTTATTATTGCCTTCACCTTTAACTGTTTGTCCTGTGTGTATTATGTCACATTGTTATTGAATCTTATGTCATTCGATTGGATGAAGTTATCATTGCCTTCACCTTTAACTGTTTGTCCTGTGTGTATTATGTCACATTGTTATTGAATTCTATGTCATTCGATTGGATGAATTTATCATTGCCTTCACCTTTAACTGTTTGTCCTGTGTGTATTATGTCACATCGTTATTGAATTCTATGTCATTCGATTGGATGAAGTAATAATTGCCTTCACCTTTAACTGTTCGTCCTGTGTGTATTATGTCACATTGTTATTGAATTCTATGTCATTCGATTGGATGAATTTATCATTGCCTTCACCTTTAACTGTTTGTCCTGTGTGTATTATGTCACATCGTTATTGAATTCTATGTCATTCGATTGGATGAAGTAATAATTGCCTTCACCTTTACCGGTAACTGTTCGTCCTGTGTGTATTATGTCACATTGTTATTGAATTCTATGTCATTCGATTGGATGAAGTTATCATTGCCTTCACCTTTAACTGTTTGTCCTGTGTGTATTATGTCACATCGTTATTGAATTCTATGTCATTCGATTGGATGAAGTATTATTGCCTTCCCCATTACCTGTTTGTCCTGTATTAAGTCAATACATGGAATTTTTCCAGTGTATATTACTCGGAGGGTCCACTTCAATACTTAATTGATAGGGGTGCCACTGGAGTTCTATTACCCCATCCTTTTCATATAATTTAGATTTTTAAAATGTACTTTAATATACCTTTTCATATATTGCGTAGGTAAAAATGTAACCTTTTCCTGTATTGGTAAATATCACCTTTGCTCGTAGCTCAGATTCCTCATGTAATGTGAACTTACGGCAAGACTTTTGGCTGTGAAAAAATACAGGGGTTTTCATATAACAAATAATGGAAACTTTATTGACCTTATCATATATTTTTGATATTTTACCCCTCCTATTCACATATTTTCAAGCTGGAAAGTGTGACCTATTCTATACTCTGGTTTCCTGTTAGTTACTACTACATACCCTTAAGACTGGTGCCTTCTCTTAACAAATAAGAGTTCTATACTCTGGTTTCCTGTTAAGTACTACTACATACCCTTAAGACTGGCGCCTTCTCTTAACAAATAAGAGTTCTATACTCTGGTTTCCTGTTAAGTACTACTACATACCCTTAAGACTGGTGCCTTCTCTTCACAAATAAGTGTTCTATACTCTGGTTTCCTGTTCATTACTACAACATAACCTTAAGACTGGTGCCTTCTCTTCACAAATAAGTGTTTTATACTCTGGTTTCCTGTTCATTACTACTACATACCCTTAAGACTGGTGCCTTCTCTTCACAAATAAGAGTTCTATATTCTGGATTTCTGATGTCAGTTGCCCACACTCTACGGTCACGTCCAGCAGAATACACCACAGAAAATGAATCGTTTGCCTGGAAAAAATCACAGTAAATAGTAATCTTACCTGGAAACTTAAGAGAAAAGAGCTCATTTTAACATATACACTACAATGAGTGTGTTTGCAAAACTATTACTTCTTTTAAATTTACTCTCTGCAATTGATTTTGACTTAGAAAAGTTGGAAAAAATGAACTGACAGAAGTAATTTAAAGCACATGTATGTAGTACAAAGTTTTTTTTAATGTGAGGAAGAACTCAGTGTGCCAAAAAAACAAACTTTGACACCTTGCACATATGACTTTAATGTGTGACACATTCACAAAGTAACATTGAATGAAGTTTTAACTTTTAGAAAAACTTCTTTTGTAGCTTTTCTATAAATTAGGGACCTTTAAAAACATTTGAGTCCCTGAAACATACCTGTAAGGTCCAAACACCCTCGTCATGTACTCTGAACGTAGATACACATCTCTGTTGTCCTAGTGACCATAATCGTATTGTTCCATCAGAACTGCCAGACAAACACTGAAACAGATTCACAAACAAATATTGTATTCACATCAAGATAATCAATATTATTCTTGAAAACAAAAATAAACTAGTTACAAGACATACATTACAGGATTGTCAAGGCAATTTACAGTATAAGTTATATTTCTATGCAAAATCTAATGTATAATCTTCAATATACTTGTAGTGTGATCTAGCAAAAAATTCAACTCAACAAGTGCTAGAGGTCATCTTAATAATATAGTCAGCATGTTTAAACTCTGACTGTGATTTTGAGTCAGCATGTTTAAACTCTGACTGTGATTTTGAGTCAGCATGTTTAAACACTCACTGTGATTTTGAGTCAGCATGTTTAAACTCTCACTGTGATTTTGAGTCAGCATGTTTAAACTCTGACTGTGATTTTGAGTCAGCATGTTTAAACACTCACTGTGATTTTGAGTCAGCATGTTTAAACACTCACTGTGATTTTGAGTCAGCATGTTTAAACTCTCACTGTGATTTTGAGATGAAGAACAGCAATAAAAGTATTGTTCCATTTCTTTCCAATTTTACTTGTTGGTATTTTGTGTCATTGAGTGATACATATAGATTCCACCATTGCAACAAGTGAGTTACGATATTTCTCCACTTGAGACAGTTAAATTTTAATATTTAAAGCGCGAGGCTTGCCGAGCTCTTTAAATATTAAAATTTAACTGTTGAGAGTGGAGAAATATCGTAATACACGAGTTATAGTGGTGGAATCTGTTTCTCTAATGATTTTTATCCTTCCTTTTCAAAGATTTGCAGAAAGTTGTGTTCTTTATATGTGACGTCATCAGGCATGGTCGTTTTTTTTCATGACGTCACAATCAGGAATTCAGAAGAAACCAAGAAAATTTAACGTCATAATTAAATTTCGACCAATCATTTGCCGAGAACAGATATTTCACTAGTGAGGAGAACAATTTTTTCACAATCGGTTGGGAAATGTGAAAATAGTGACAAAATTAGAGAAACAATAATCTTTATTTTCCATGCTTATTAAAAGAGGGTAAAACATTTCTCTGCAAATTTTTTTTAAGTAGATGTCAAATTTTATTTTTAGATTCATTTCCAATATGTGTAGTTAGTTTGTTTTTCTATAATTGTACAACACATTTATATTTATTTATTGAAGTATCTGTTTGAATCATTACAAGTTCCAACACTATAAATTGGTTATACAAGATGAAACCCATTTCTAATTAGAGGTGCCCCATGAGCTATTTTTAACTTAAGTACCAACTAAAAATGTTCACTTGTTATCACCGAATAGTTCTATTCATTTAAAATCATTTGTACGAAATCTTAAATCCTAGGTGGAAAAGTTGGGAAGACGATTGAAAAGTGTCTACAGTGTCTGACCTCTTTTGACATCTGACTGGAAAATATTTTTATATTTAGTCAGAATAATCACTCCTCTAATTGATCAATTTTCAGTAAAGGCTTTCAGTAATTGTGATGTAAAAAATTTAAATTTTTATTCAAATTCATAGAAGAAAGAATTTTTAAAAGTTTTGAATTTACACATTATGTAATACGCATGCCTAATCACAGGTAACGCTTAATCAAAATAACACGATAATTTCCTGCCTTTATATAAACACAGGAATTTATCTTGTAATTACCCTGAATTATTTAATGCTCAAGTAAAACAATAATGACGCCCTTTTATACACTTTTAATAGGTTATGAATTTAGAAATTTACAGCCATTTTGATTCACAGAAGGATTCCCTGGAATTTATTTGTATTTTATTATCATATTAAAAATTACTATTTACATTTTTCACTTTCAATCAAAAGTAACATAATCGATTGCGGAGGAATTTGCAAATTTGTAGTTATTTAATTGATTTCACTTTTTAACTGAATACAACCAACAAATTATTCTCAAATGATTTTATAAAAATAGGTACCAAATTTCAGATTGCTAAGAACTATAAAACACCTGACACCCTTTAATTATTTTGTTACTTCTGCCAGTTCTGGAATGATTGTGACTGTTAGAAAATAATGACTTTTCAAATTGAGTAATTAAAAAATGACAAAAATTGCATAAAAATGGTGCAGATCCTTGGCCTTTGCTCTTGTAAAAGAAAGTGGATTTAATACAGATTTAAACAAAATCAATGAGAACAAGATAGTCAAATGGAGCATCAGAACATGACTCATCATCCATCTGTTTCCTGACAAAACATGAACAAATCCTACAATCAAACCACATGTGTACCATCTCTATTTAGGACTTTACATTATCAGCATAGCCCTTTAATTTCATCAGTTTCTGACATGTCCTGGGGTCTCAGACCCTCAGCACCTTTTCTGTAGACCCTGACACTATGACATCACTCACCTGTGTACCATCTCTATTCAGGACCAATGCCTTTACATTATCAGCATGGCCCTTTAATTTCATCAGTTTCTGACACGTCCTGGGGTCCCAGACCCTCAACACCTTTTCTGTAGACCCTGAAACTATGACAGAACCGGGAGGGTTCATTGCTAAGCTGTAGATAGAATCCTTATTTCCATTCAGACTTGATGCTGAAAAATATACAATGATGTTAATTAAAGGAAACATGGGATTTATGTCAATGAGATTTAGGGTATTTGTCAATGAGACATCAACACAATAATTATGTCAATCAGATGTGGGGTATATGTCAATCAGATGTGGGGTATATGTCAATCAGATGTGGGCATATGTCAATGAGACATCAACACAATGTTTATGTCAATGAGATGTGGGGTTTATGTCAATGAGATTTGGGGTATATGTCAATGAGACATCAACACAATAATTATAACACTGAGATGTGGGGTATTTGTCAATCAGATGTGGGGTATATGTCACTGAGATGTGGGGTATATGTCAATGAAATGTGGGGTATATGTCAATCAGATGTGGGGTATATGTCAAGGAGATGTGGGGTATATGTCAATGAGATGTGGGGTACATGTCAAGGAGATGTGGGGTATATATCAAGGAGATGTGGGATACATGTCAATGAGATGTGGGGTATGTGTCAATAAGATATGGGGTACATGTCAAGGAGATGTGGGGTATATGTCAATGAGATGTAGGGTATATGTCAATGAGATGTGGGGTACATGTCAAGGAGATGTGGGGTATATGTCAAGGAGATATGGGGTACATTTCAAGGAGATGTGGGGTATATGTCAATGAGATATGGGGTATATGTCAATGAGATGTGGGGTATATGTCAATAAGACATCAACACAATAATTATGTCAATGAGATGTGGGGTATATGTCAATGAGATGTGGGGTATATGCCAATGAGATGTGGGGTATATGTCAATAAGACATCAACACAATAATTATGTCAATGAGATGTGGGGTATATGTCAATGAGATGTGGGGTATATGTCAAGGAGTTGTGGGGTACATGTCAAGGAGATTTGGGGTATATGTCAAGGAGATTTGGGGTATATGCAGGACTCACACTACTACAGAATCATAGGGAGAAGTGACTTTCTCTTTTTGAAATTGAGAGGGAGAAGTGGTGAGATTTGAAAGAGAAGTGCTTGTTTGCTCTCGGCACTACAATGTTTGGTTTTTACTATAATACATTAAGGACCATATGTATCTTATTTTTTTATATTGTTCAATTTGTACCTGGGTATACAATTAAAAGTAACTGTTGTTTAATTTTATCATATCTAGTTGCACAATCATATGAGTCCTCTTGTCAGAAAAAACAATTAAATATCTGGCAATAATAAAAAGATTTTTTTTATATCAAAAAGGAAAAGAAAGTTGTTATATCAATTAAAATTCAATTAAAAAACTACTCTGTTATCATGTTCTTGAAATTAAATATTTCTCATTAAAAAGATATAAAAATGTAACAGTTAAGCTTGGACATAATATATATAATTATTAGTGTAATAGTCCCAGAGTTGAGCAACTTTAACTTATAAATTGAAACAATGTATATACATCTAAATATATACATCAATCAAGAAGATCTAACCAAAAGTATGTTAATGCGTGTAGAATGCGTAATTTTTCCTTTTGGGATCCATTTTATCTGTCAGCAGTGCCATTCATGTGTCCGTAGTCATTATCATAAGAATCCGGATTTCGGTCATAGCGGGTCCGTTTCCGATGAAATCCTGACTCCGATCCTTATTTGTATAATAATATGCCCAATAATTTAAATGGCAGACGAAGACAATTTTACAAAAATAAACGATGTTTGACATGCTATTTGGAAAGGAATGACGTTTTTATTGCAATAAATGGATAACAAATTTACTTCAGGCAAATTTCATCAAGTTCTAATGAAGAAACAACTTTTTTTGCCAAAAGTTAGAATGATTTGAATACACTCTTGATTAACAAGTACCGGAACGGAAGTGATAAAAAATTGTTTTTATGAAATAACATGCCACCAACTTTAAAATTAATGCTTTAACCTCTTTTCTGAAGAAAATAAATCATTTATGCCTTGAATTTCTTTACTTTTAAATGACCAATCGATGTTTCATCGACTTGGTAAAAATTGAATATTGCCAATGACGAGAGCGACTGAAAGCAAGTATCGTAAACAACAGGGCGACTTGTTTTCGCTTTTGAGGGTCGGGCAAAGCGAAAAGACGGACAGGAAAGCTACTACTTCGCCCTAATCGCCTGGTAGCGTGAGCCCTGATATGTCAATGAAAATAATACAGTTACTAATAGACTTACTAGTAACTGTATTATTTGAAGCAGTGAGTGCTGTCAGCGTGGTAACACCCCAAAGGAACATGGCTCTATCTAATTAGATTTACTAGTAACTGTATTATTTGAAGTAGTGAGTGCTGTCAGCATGGTAACACCCCAAAGGAAAATGGCTCTTTCTAAATAGACTTACTAGTAACTGTATTATTTGAAGCAGTGAGTGATGTTAGAATGATAAAGTCCCACAGGAAAATGGCTCATTTTAATTAGACTTACTAGTAACTGTATTATTTGAAGTAGTGAGTGCTGTCAGTGTGTTAACATCCCACAGGAAAATGGCTCTATCTAATTAGACTTACTAGTAACTGTATTATTTGAAGCAGTGAGTGCTGTCAGTGTGTTAACATCCCACAGGAAAATGGCTCTATCTAATTAGACTTACTAGTAACTGTATTATTTGAAGTAGTGAGTGCTGTCAGTGTGTTAACATCCCACAGGAAAATGGCTCTATCTAATTAGTCTGAATAGTAACTGTATTATTTGAAGTAGTGAGTGCTGTCAGTGTGTTAACATCCCACAGGAAAATGGCTCTATCTAATTAGACTTACTAGTAACTGTATTATTTGAAGTAGTGAGTGCTGTCAGTGTGTTAACATCCCACAGGAAAATGGCTCTATTTAATTAGTCTTAATAGTAATTGTATTATTTGAAGTAGTGAGTGCTGTCAGTGTGTTAACATCCCACAGGAAAATGGCTTTATCTAATTAGTCTTAATAGTAACTGTATTATTTGAAGCAGTGAGTGCTGTCAGGGTGTTAACATCCCACAGGAAAATGGCTCTATCTAATTAGTCTTACTAGTAACTGTATTATTTGAAGCAGTGAGTGCTGTCAGGGTGTTAACATCCCACAGGAAAATGGCTTTATCTAATTAGACTTACTAGTAACTGTATTATTTGAAGCAGTGAGTGCTGTCAGGGTGTTAACATCCCACAGGAAAATGGCTCTATCTAATTAGTCTTACTAGTAACTGTATTATTTGAAGCAGTGAGTGCTGTCAGGGTGTTAACATCCCACAGGAAAATGGCTTTATCTAATTAGACTTACTAGTAACTGTATTATTTGAAGCAGTGAGTGCTGTCAGGGTGTTAACATCCCACAGGAAAATGGCTCTATCTAATTAGTCTTACTAGTAACTGTATTATTTGAAGCAGTGAGTGCTGTCAGGGTGTTAACATCCCACAGGAAAATGGCTTTATCTAATTAGACTTACTAGTAACTGTATTATTTGAAGCAGTGAGTGCTGTCAGTGTGTTAACATCCCACAGGAAAATGGCTTTATCTAATTAGACTTACTAGTAACTGTATTATTTGAAGCAGTGAGTGCTGTCAGGGTGTTAACATCCCACAGGAAAATGGCTCTATCTAATTAGACTTACTAGTAACTGTATTATTTGAAGCAGTGAGTGCTGTCAGTGTGTTAACATCCCACAGGAAAATGGCTCGATCTAATCCTGCTGAGGCTACTTGTTCTTTATCTCTGGCATACGCTAGTGCCTTAACATAATCCTGTAATTAGAATTAAACAAAGGCCTTAACATACAGCTGTAATTAGAAATAAACAAGAATGTGTCCATAGTACACGGATGCCCCACTCGCACTATCATTTTCTATGTTCAGTGGACCGTGAAATTGGGATCAAAACTCTAATTATGCATTTAAATTAGAAAGATCATATCATAGGGAATATGTGTACTTAGTTTCAAGTTGATTGGACTTCAACTTCATCAAAAACTACCTTGACCAAAAACTTTAACCTGAAGCGGGACAAATGGACAAACGAACGGACGCACAGACCGAAAAACATAATGCCCCTCTACTATCATAGGTGGGGCATAAAAAGGGCCTTAACCTGATCCTGGAATTAGAAATAAACAAGGCCTTAACTGTATCCTAGAATTAGAAATAACCAAGGCCTTAACTGTATCCTGGAATTAGAAATAACCAAGGGCCTTAACCTAATCCTGGAATTAGAAATAAACAAAGGCATTAACCTAATCCTGGAATTAGAATTAAACAAAGGCATTAACCTAATCCTGGAATTAGAATTAAACAAAGGCATTAACCTAATCCTGGAATTAGAAATAACCAAGGGCCTTAACCTAATCCTGGAATCAGAAATAAATAAAGGCCTAAACCTAATCCTGGAATTAGAATTAAACAAAGGCCTTAACCTAATCCTGGAATTAGAAATAAACAAAGGCCTTAACATAATCCTGGAATTAGAATTAAACAAAGGCCTTAACCTAATCCTGAAATTAGAATTAAACAAAGGTCTTAACCTAATCCTGAAATTAGAATTAAACAAAGGTCTTAACCTAATCCTGGAATTAGAATTAAATAAAGGCCGTAACCTAATCCTGGAGTTAGAAATAAATAAAGGCCTTAACCTAATCCTGGAATTAAAATTAAACAAAGGCCTTAACCTAATCCTGGAATTAGAAATAACCAAGGGCCTTAACCTAATCCTGGAATTAGAAATAAACAAGGGCCTTAACCTAATCCTGGAATTAGAATTAAACAAGGGCCTTAACCTAATCATGGAATTAGAAATAAATAAAGGCCTTAACCTAATCCTGTAATTAGAAATAAACAAGGGCCTTAACCTGATCTTGTAATTAGAAATAAACAAGGGAATTAATCTGATCTTGTAATTAGAAATAAACAAGGGCCTTAACCTGATCTTGTAATTATAAATAAACAAGGGCCTGAACCTAATCATGGAATTTTAAATTAGCTAGGGTCTTTACTTCATCCAGGAAGTAAGACATAACAATAACAATTATAAGCATGTGTTTGATGAAAAAAAACATTTAGCCAATAGCTATGCCTAATTTTGCTTTATTAATAGAAACAAATCCCTAATTTACATTAAATATTTGCCACTGGCGACAATTAGCATTCAATCATTGTTGTTAATGTATTAAATTAAGGATTTCTTGTTGGTAGCTTTCATTATGATTGATCCTTTTCTGCGTAATGACCAGTGGCAAATATTTCATGCATATTCAAAACATGAACATGTTTAATAAATCCAACATATAAGTTATGCAAAGTATGATGAAGGGTGAACACTTCAACTGCCACATAAAAATGAGGGTATGTATGCTTTCTGCAGACACTTAGCCTTGGATCAGGCCACTTACAGACTGCTTGTTGTTGATAGAATTCGACAGGACGTAGAGTGAATGAAAATTTCCCTATATATGGCTTCAAAATTTAACATCCCAATTCAAACCATAATAGGCTATGTATTTATACATCCCACACAGCCAAATCGAAGCAAACTTTCAGCAAACACAAAAGACAACCAGAAATGACAATATTTTTAGATGCTAGTCAACCCTTGTTTTTTTTAAAGTGTAATAGATAAAGAACAAATATTTTGACACTGAAGGGCAGTTTCTCAGATGTGAAGAGGACTGACAATTCCTGTTAAACATTGGTATATCCTGTCAGGTCATTTCTACTGTTAACTTGTTCTCTCTACATGCTCTATCTTCTATAGTTTTTGCCCAAAACAAATAAAAAGATCAAAATCTTCATTTAAGGACAATAACTTCTGGAAGAATTTGACTGACAATTTAGACCTATTTGTAAATCTTGTCTAGCTAATCATTTTTGCTGTTTACAGTTTTTCTTTATCTACCAAAGTTTTTGCCAAAAATGCCAAAAATAAGTTAAAATCATCATTCAAGGACAATATCTTCTATAAGGATTTGACTGACAATTTCTGCAATGTTTTACTTATTTGTAGATAATTTTAGCTTTTAAAAGTTTCTATCTATCTATCATAGCAGGGGTTAAAAAATTTTGTTACAGCTCACTAGCCCAGGACTTATTGGTAGCAGGATTTTACAAGCCCTGTTGGAAGAACTGCTAGCCCATCAAAACTGACCTGCTAGCCCGAGTATGTCTTACAAATTCAGAGTTTGCTGCATAATACAACGAGTTCTTTAAACTTGTTCATTTCTATCCGTTGTACTATGGGTTGTTAAATATTTTACAGGATCTCGGGGATTTAAATGGATTGAAGAGTTAATGCGATAATACACGTGTAATTAAATTTTCAGTCACTGACCGCTGTATTGATTTATGACATTCTTTTTGCACGAGTGTTTACCCAAGATTATCTCTGATCACCATGATAAACTACAGAAAACATGTTCATTGGTCTTGTCATGTGAAACCAGTGGTTCAAATCATATATTTGTTCCAACATACAAAGCAGACTTTTTATTAGCGTGATAGGGAAAATAACGGCAATATACACAAAACTTTGTCTCTGGTTTATCATCAGCAACAGCCGACCTTGCCCTGGGATTCTTTTTGTCCATGACACTATAAATGTTCTTTTCAGCTTTTCCCGGTTGTATTTGTCATTTTTTGGGATGAATTTTCAGCCCCTTCATCTACCGTTTTTTGTTTTGAAACTGACCATTAGTTCCTGGGGTGTCTGTACTCAAATATTTCAAATATTTTGTTGCATGGTTTAGTGCTTAACAGCTGTCCGACATGACAGGTCAATATGGATCAATGCATCATATACCCCCACTGGCCCAAAACCGTCACCGGTAATTGAAAATCTCGGCATAAGCAATGTACAATACCCCCTGTATTGAGAAATCGATATTGAAAGTTTGGGAATTGCGATCAATACATGATACCGGTCCACCCAGAGTTATTTGTTCTATTTTAAAACATGAACAAAATCAGTTCAAATTCTTGAAATCCCGGATGACGTAATTGAATCTGATTGGCTAAGATAGAATAGTGATGAGGGGATTTTCCACTTTCTATTTTGGAAACGCCAAGAATTTTTTGTTACTAGTCCGTCGGGTATATTGGGTTACAAGTTTTGATTGCCCGAAGCGTAAATGCTGTAGCCCTGGGTGTCGGGCTATTTGATTTTTTAACCCCTGCATAGTTTTCAAAATAGGTAAAAATGCCCCAAAAAAAATTGCCATTTAAGGGCAATAACTCTTATATAGGCAGTCAACCACCAATATTGGCAATATTGACTTATTTGTAGATTTTGTCTCTATGAAAATATTTGCTTAAAATTTCTGTTATCTTTCTTTAGTTTTTATATAAAAGATAAAGGGGTCCTTGGTGGCCCACTGAGGTTGTGAGTTCAAACCTCTCACATGGCAGGTGTGCTCGTCTAAAAACCCCTCACATGGCAGGTGTGCTCATCTAAAAAACCCTCACATGGCAGGTGTGCTCGTCTAAAACCCCCTCACATGGCAGGTGTGCTCGTCTAAAAAACCCTCACATGGCAGGTGTGCTCGTCTAAAAAACCCTCACATGGCAGGTGTGCTTGTCTAAAAACCCCTCACATGGCAGGTGTGCTCGTCTAAAACCCCCTCACATGGCAGGTGTGCTCGTCTAAAACCCCCTCACATGGCAGGTGTGCTCATCTAAAACCCCCTCACATGGCAGGTGTGCTCGTCTAAAACCCCCTCACATGGCAGGTGTGCTCGTCTAAAACCCCCTCACATGGCAGGTGTGCTCGTCTAAAAACCCCTCACATGGCAGGTGTGCTTGTCTAAAACCCCCTCACATGGCAGGTGTGCTCATCTTAAACCCCCTCACATGGCAGGTGTGCTCGTCTAAAACCCCCTCACATGGCAGGTGTGCTAGTCTAAAAAACCCTCACATGGCAGGTGTGCTTGTCTAAAACCCCCTCACATGGCAGGTGTGCTTGTCTAAAACCCCCTCACATGGCAGGTGTGCTTGTCTAAGGATTGCCAGTTTTCCTGCCAAAAGGTTCTCTGCAGCACTCTGGCTTCCTGCAGCACTCTGGCTTCCTGCAGCACTCTAGCTTCCTGCAGCACTCTGGCTTCCTGCAGCACTCTGGCTTCCTGCAGCACTCTGGCTTCCTGCACCATAAAAACTGACTGCCAGGAAATAGCCAATAGTGATGAAAAGGCCAATAAACACCTAACAATCAATTAAAACGATAAAAGGCAAAACAAAAAAAATTGGTAAAAATCCTCATTCAAGGGCATAATTCCTATAAAAAATTGACTGATGATTTCAGTCTTATCTGTAAATTTTGTCTGGCTGATCATTTTTGCTGTTTAAATTTCTAACTATATTTTATTCCACCCTTTCCCCCACATTTTGACCTTCTACATTCCTTGTTAGTACGTAATGTTGACATACAGTAACCTGTGTGATAATTCCATACTTTGACAGGTTATGCTCCACCACCACCACCCACCTCTCCCTATGACCCCACATTTTGACCTTCTACATTCCATGTGAGTACATAATGTTGACATACAGTAACCTGTGTGATAATTCCATACATTGACATACAGTAACCTGTGTGATAATTCCATACATTGACATACAGTAACCTGTGTGATAATTCCATACTTTGACAGGTTATACAATCCCCCTCCCCCTCTGACCCCACATTTTGACCTTTTACATTCCTTGTTAGTATGTAATGTTGACATACAGTAACCTGTGTGATAATTCCATACTTTGACAGGTTATGCCCCCCCTCCCCCTTTGATCCCATATTTTGACCTTATACATTCCTTGTGAGTACATAATGTTGACATAAAGTAACCTGTGTAATAATTCCATACATTGACATACAGTAATGTGTGATAATTCCATGACTGGTTATGCACCCCCCCCCCCCCCCCCACTCCCCCCTTGACCCCACATTTTGACCTTATACATGTACATACCTTGTGAGTACGTAATGTTGACATACAGAAACCTTTGTGAGCATTCCATACTTTGACTGTTGTGTCACTTGATGCAGAAATTACTGAAAAAATAATAAAAACATGACAAAGAAATTGATCATTTTAACATTACATGCATATTTGGCTGAAAACACGTTTCAAATGACATGAATATAAACTCTGGTTTTTACTAGACTAACAACCCAAGCTGGACATGCTAGTTGACAGGTAAAAGGTCAACAGGATATAAGTAGAACATCTAATTAAGTTTGAATTCGGCACAATTTGTCTACAATATAAATGAAATAAAATGGAATAAAGGTTTAAATGTTGCCAGGTTGTAAAAACAATGGTCTATACTTATACTGATCATTTAATAAACTGTTGACACAGAGATATGTCTTGCCTTTTTGTAATTTGATAATATAATGCAAATATTGAATCCAAATGTCACTATTTAAACATTTAAACTATGCAAGACATTCAAAGTCAATGGACCATGACTTACGGTGCAGGACCAAATAATTCAATGGACATTAGAAATTCCAATGCTTATAATAAAATTGCTTACCAAATACCATTGACTTATCATAAATGGTTCCTTTTACAATAACCTAAACACAAACTTTCATTTGTAAACAACATGAAAGTTTCAAAGTTAATGAACCATGCTGAGGGGTCGGGGTCATATAATCACAATGGAGAAGAGACTTGCAAATGCTAATACAACTGCATACCAAATATCTTTGACTTAACATTAGCAGTTCCTCTTAAACTGATCTAATCACAAATTTAACATGTAAACTATGCAAAGCATTCAAAGTCAATAGACCATGACTTAGGGACCCATCCAAATAATATCCATGGAAATGAGAGGTGCCAATGCTAATATATCTACATACCAAATATTATTGACTTACTAATCACAAACTAACACAATGTTAACATAGAATACTTAAAGTCTTCCTTTTTTACTATGTCAAGGCGAGGCAAAGACATAAGAAAATAAAATGTGAAAAAAATTTAAACAACTCCATAGTGGAAGGTGCTCAACCTCAATACTAGGTCTGCAAGCTTTCTGGGAAGTCCAAAGGTTGGGTGAAAAAACAAAATTGCTACCATCTTTTGAAAATTTTGTTGAAAAACTAAATTCTGAAGTCTGGAAAAATAAAATAAAATCTTCAAACAACTCAATAACAACTCCAATATATACCGTATGTAATCATTCTGTAAAGTTTCAAGGATCTGGGTTGATAACTGTAGTTAGTTACCCCTCAGTACACATCATTGGTAGTCTTTTGTAAATTTTGCTGAAAAATGGCTAAGTTCAAGGTGGGGAAAAATGACAAAAATTCCTCAAGCAACTCTTTAATTACAGGTACACAACTTCAACATGTCTAGTGTGAAGGATCTGGGTTGAAAATTATAGAAGGAATTGATTACCCAAGTCAAGAAAAATGGAAAAAATCCTCAAACATTTCCATAATAGCATTAGGGTTGAAAACTGTAGCAGGACCTGATAACACAAATCCGTTATCAAATTTTCTCCAATTCTGTTTGACATCACCATACTATAAGCTGGTTTTGACCTTTTTCCAACCCGGTTAAAAATTCCTTTGATTGAAAAACTTTTTAACAGTAAGACACAGTAACTTACATGTTCAGTAGAACATACAATCACCTTCCCAATAGAACACACTAACTTACATGTTTAGTAGAACATACTAACTAACCTTCCCAAGAGAAAACACCAACAAACCTTCTCAGTAGAACACACTAATTTACATGTATAGTAGAACATACTAACTAACCTTCACAAGAGAACACACAAACAAACCTCTCAGTAGAACACACCAACTTACATGTATAGAAGAAAAAACTTACTTTCTTGATAGAACACACTTATTTATCTGTCAAGTAGAACACATTAACTGACATGTTCAGCAGAACACATGAACTTACATATAAAGTAGAACACATTAACCGACATGTTCAGCAGAACACATGAACTTACATATAAAGTAGAACACATAACCCACATGTTCAGCAGAACACATGAACTTACATATAAGTAGAACACATTAACCGACATGCTCAGCAGAACACATGAACTTACATTTAAAGTAGAACACATTAACCGACATGTTCAGCAGAACACATGAACTTACATATAAAGTAGAACACATTAACTGACATGTTCAGCAGAACACATGAACTTACATTCAAAGTAGAACACATTAACCGACATGTTCAGCAGAACACATGAACTTACATAGAAAGTAGAACACACTTACTTGACATGTTTAGAACACACTAACTTACCTGTTCAGTATTACACATCAACTTATATGTTCAGAAGAACACACTGACTTTCATGTTCAGTAGAAATCACTAACAAACATGTTCCATAAAATTGTTCAGAAGAACACACTAACCTACAAGTTCTGTAAAACACACCAACTTGCATGTTTAGTAAAACACACTAATTTAAATGTTCAGTACAACACACTAATTTACATGTTCAAAAGAACACACTCACTTTCATGTTCAGTAAAAAACACTAAAATACACGTTCAGTAAAACTCACTAACTTATATAATCTATAAATCCCACCAACTTCAAGTTTAGTAAAACACACTTATTAAAATGTTCAGTAAAACACAATAATTTACATGTTCAGAAGAACACACTCACTTTCGCAATCAGTAGAAAAACACTAACAAACATGTTATCTCACATGTTCAGTTAAACACCCCAACTTGCACATCAATAAAATACACTAATTTTCATGTTCAGTTAACCACACTAACTCACCTGTTCAGTAGAACACACTAAATTACCTAATCAGTAGAACACAATAACTTACATGTTCAGAAGAACACACTCCCTTTCTATCTACTAACTCACATGTTCAGCAGAACAAACCAACTTGCATGTTCAATATAACACACTAGTTTACATCTTCAGTAAAACACACTAACTAACATGTTCAGTAGAACACACTAACTTACATGTTCAATAAAAACTATTATCTCACATGTTCAGTAGAACACACTAACTTGCGAATTCAGTAAAACACACTAATTTACATGTTCAGTAAAACATGATAACTTATATGTTCAGTATAACACACTAACATTACATACATGTACAACATCATTCACCCAGTCTGTATAATTTACATGTTCTCCCTCCACAGCAGAGAACAATATCATTCACCCATTCTAAATATCTTACATGTTCTACCACCACAGCAGAGGACAATATCATTCACCCAGTCTGTATAACTGACATGTTCTCCCACCACAGCAGAGGACAATATCATTCACAAAGTCTGTATAACTTACATGTTCTCCCACCACAGCAGAGGACAATATCATTCACCCAGTTTGTATAACTTACATGTTCTCCCACCACAGCAGAGGACAATATCATTCACCCAGTCTGTATAACTAACATGTTCTCCCATCACAGCAGAGGACAATATCAATCACCCAGTCTGTATAACTTACATGTTCTCCCACCACAGTAGAGGACACTATCATTCACCCAGTCTGTATAACTAACATGTTCTCCCACCACAGCAGAGGACAATATCATTCACCCAGTCTGTATAACTTACATGTTCTCCCACCACAGCAGAGGACAATATCATTCACCCAGTTTGTATAACTAACATGTTCTCCCACCACAGCAGAGGACAATATCATTCACCCAGTCTGTATAACTAACATGTTCTCCCACCACAGCAGAGGACAATATCATTCACCCATTCGGAATAACTTACATGTTCTCCCACCACAGCAGTGGACAATATCATTCACCCAGTCTGTATAACTAACATGTTCTCCCACCACAGTAGAGGACAATATCATTCACCCAGTCTGTATAACTTACATGTTCTCCCACAACAGAGAACAATATCATTCACCCAGTTTGTATAACTAACATGTTCTCCCACCACAGCAGAGGACAATATCATTCACCCATTCTGTATAACTTACGTGTTCTCCCACCACAGCAGAGGACTATATCATTCACCCAGTCTGTATAACTAACATGTTCTCCCACCACAGCTGAAGACAATATCATTCACCCATTCTGTATAACTAACATGTTCTCCCACCACAGCTGAAGACAATATCATTCACCCAGTCTGTATAACTAACATGTTCTCCCACCACAGCTGAAGACAATATCATTCACCCATTCTGTATAACTAACATGTTCTCCCACCACAGCAGAGAACAATATCATTCACCCAGTCTGTATAACTTACATGTTCTCCCACCACAGTAGAGGACAATATCATTCACCCAGTTTGTATAACTTACATGTTCTCCCACCACAGCTGAAGACAATATCATTCACCCATTCTGTATAACTAACATGTTCTCCCACCACAGCAGAGAACAATATCATTCACCCAGTCTGTATAACTTACATGTTCTCCCACCACAGTAGAGGACAATATCATTCACCCAGTTTGTATAACTTACATGTTCTCCCACCACAGCAGAGGACAATATCATTCACCCATTCTGTATAACTAACATGTTCTCCCACCACAGCAGAGAACAATATCATTCACCCATTCTAAATAACTTACGTGTTCTCCCACCACAGCAGAGAACAATATCATTCACCCAGTTTGTATAACTTACATGTTCTCCCACCACAGCAGAGGACAATATCATTCACCCAGTCTGTATAACTTACGTGTTCTCCCACCACAGCAGAGGACAATATCATTCACCCAGTCTGTATAACTTACATGTTCTCCCACCACAGCAGAGAATAATATCATTCACCCATTCTAAATAACTTACGTGTTCTCCCACCACAGCAGAGAACAATATCATTCACCCATTCTGTATAACTTACATGTTCTCCCACCACAGCAGAGGACAATATCATTCACCCAGTCTGTATAACTTACATGTTCTCCCACCACAGCAGAGGACAATATCATTCACCCAGTCTGTATAACTTACGTGTTCTCCCACCACAGCAGAGAACAATATCATTCACCCATTCTGTATAACTTACATGTTCTCCCACCACAGCAGAGGACAATATCATTCACCCAGTCTGTATAACTTACATGTTCTCCCACCACAGCAGAGGACAATATCATTCACCCAGTCTGTATAACTTACATGTTCTCCCACCACAGCAGAGAACAATATCATTCACCCAGTCTGTATAACTAACATGTTCTCCCACCACAGCAGAGAACAATATCATTCACCCATTCTGTATAACTAACATGTTCTCCCACCACAGCAGAGGACAATATCATTCACCCAGTCTGTATAACTTACATGTTCTCCCACCACAACAGAGAACAATATCATTCACCCAGTCTAAATAACTTACGTGTTCTCCCACCACAGCAGAGGACAATATCATTCACCCAGTCTGTATGGTGTTCCATTGATAACATGTATGGATCCTACAATGGAAATGTATTTCTCCTATTACATTTGTACAATGTATCCAACAAAGAATCACACATACCAACATTTTTAAAAGCAGTTTTTAGAACACACCAACAATGCACTTTGAGGTGGAGCTGTAGTGTTGTTTAATATTTAAATGTTCTGTTTATGTGATCTTTTTTTTTTGTGTGTTCTTGATGTGTTCCTACTTTATTTATTGTTGTCATTACTTGTTCAATTGCATATTCCTAAGTTTTTGTCCGTGTGTTCCTAACATGTGATTTTGAGAGTTTCTATTCTATTCTATTTGCCTGTGCATTCTTCCCAATTCTACTTTCAATTATCTGTGTTTTTCTACTTTACCATTTCACGCTATTTTTTTGTTCTGAACTGTTCCTACTTTTATCATGTTTATTGTCTCATCTTTTACATTTTATTTGTCTGTTATTACATTTCTTAGTACATGCCTTAGTACATCCCTTACTACATTCCTTAGTACATTCCTTTAGATTTCAGTTTCTTGTGTTGTCTATGTGTGCTCCTATTTTTATTTTCATCTGCAATTTTCTCACCTCGTTGCTTTTTTTATCCTTTCATCTGTGTTTGCTTTCTTTGTTAGCATTTGTTTATCTATCTTTGTCTTTGTTATCATACATGGTTTGTATGTTTCTAACAACCTCCATGTGTTCCTTTCTTCCTTGTTTGTTAATGTGTTCTTACCTTATTTGTCTTTGTTATTGTACATGGTTTGTATGTTTCTAACAACCTCCATGTGTTCCTTTCTTCCTTGTTTGTTAATGTGTTCTTACCTTATTTATCTTTGTCTTTGTTATTGTACATGGTTTGTATGTTTCTAACAACCTCCATGTGTTCCTTTCTTCCTTGTTTGTTAATGTGTTCTTACCTTATTTGTCTTTGTTATTGTACATGGTTTGTATGTTTCTAACAACCTCCATGTGTTCCTTTCTTCCTTGTTTGTTAATGTGTTCTTACCTTATTTATCTTTGTCTTTGTTATTGTACATGGTTTGTATGTTTCTAACAACCTCCATGTGTTCCTTTCTTACTTGTTTGTTAATGTGTTCTTACCTTATTTGTCTTTGTTATTGTACATGGTTTGTATGTTTCTAACAACCTCCATGTGTTCCTTTCTTCCTTGTTTGTTAATGTGTTCTTACCTTATTTGTCTTTGTTATTGTACATGGTTTGTATGTTTCTAACAACCTCCATGTGTTCCTTACTTCCTTGTTTGTTAATGTGTTCTTACCTTATTTGTCTTTGTTATCATACATGGTTTGTATGTTTCTAACAACCTCCATATGTTCCTTTCTTCCTTGTTTGTTAATGTGTTCTTACCTTATTTGTCTTTGTTATTGTACATGGTTTGTATGTTTCTAACAACCTCCATGTGGTCCTTTCTTCCTTGTTTGTTAATGTGTTCTTACCTTATTTGTCTTTGTTATTGTACATGGTTTGTATGTTTCTAACAACCTCCATGTGTTCCTTTCTTCCTTGTTTGTTAATGTGTTCTTACCTTATTTGTCTTTGTTATTGTACATGGTTTGTATGTTTCTAACAACCTCCATGTGTTCCTTACTTCCTTGTTTGTTAATGTGTTCTTACCTTATTTATCTTTGTCTTTGTTATTGTACATGGTTTGTATGTTTCTAACAACCTCCATGTGTTCCTTTCTTCCTTGTTTGTTAATGTGTTCTTACCTTATTTGTCTTTGTTATTGTACATGGTTTGTATGTTTCTAACAACCTCCATGTGTTCCTTTCTTCCTTGTTTGTTAATGTGTTCTTACCTTATTTGTCTTTGTTATTGTACATGGTTTGTATGTTTCTAACAACCTCCATGTGTTCCTTTCTTCCTTGTTTGTTAATGTGTTCTTACCTTATTTATCTTTGTCTTTGTTATTGTACATGGTTTGTATGTTTCTAACAACCTCCATGTGTTCCTTTCTTCCTTTTTTGTTAATGTGTTCTTACCTTAATTATCTTTGTCTTTGTTATTGTACATGGTTTGTATGTTTCTAACAACCTCAATGTGTTCCTTTCTTCCTTGTTTGTTAATGTGTTCTTACCTTATCTATCTTTGTCTTTGTTATCATACATGGTTTGTATGTTTCTAACAACCTCCATGTGTTCCTTTCTTCCTTGTTTGTTAATGTGTTCCTTACTTCCTTGTTTGTTAATGTGTTCTTACCTTATTTATCTTTGTCTTTGTTATCATACATGGTTTGTATGTTTCTAACAACCTCCATGTGTTCCTTTCTTCCTTGTTTGTTAATGTGTTCCTTTCTTCCTTGTTTGTTTGTTCCTTTCTTCCTTGTTTGTTAATGTGTTCTTACCTTATTTGTCTTTGTGTTAAAAATTCTGATAATGGAGTCTCTCCCAGCAGAGTATAGTCTGTTAATAAGTGGGTCAAACTGAAGGGAGTTAATCCCAGATCTGTGATGTCTTTCAACCTCATCTCGGATTACAAAAGAAACCTGTTAAATAACAGAGTAGAGACTGTTAATAAGTGGGTCAAACTGAAGGGAGTTAATCCCAGATCTGTGATGTCTTTCAACCTCATCTCATATTACAAAAGAAACCTGTCAAATAACAGAGTAGAGACTGTTAATAAGTGGGTCAAACTAAAGGGAGTTAATCCAGGATCTGTGATGTCTTTCAACATCATCTCGGATTACAAAAGAAACCTGTCAAATAACAGAGTAGACACTGTTAATAAGTGGGTCAAACTAAAGGGAGTTAATCCCAGATCTGTGATGTCTTTCAACATCATGTCTGATACAAGAGAAACATGTCAACTAACAGAGTAGAGAATTGGGGTACTGATTTTCTGCATTGTAAAATGAACGCAAGTAAGAAAGGGAGATGTTGAAACACAAGAAATTAAAGAGAAAACTAATAAATAGATGTTCAAATCCAATATGTTTGTTTGTTTAACTCTTGTAAATCAACCAATCTGAAGAATGTGAGTTGTTCCGTTGTTCCTTAATGTAAAGCACAAAATAGTTGACCTTAGGATCTTGGAAAGCATAAAACGTCAGGTCAGCAGTATGCATGTAAAAAGGGGAAGAGTGTAGAATAATTGAAGATATAATGGGAACCTACATGTAACTTGACTGAGTAAGGAAAGATCTTCTTTTAGCATATCATAATTGAATATAAAATATTGTTTTCAGGAGGTAAAAACTTGTTTTTCTGGTTATCTACATGTAACCATGGTAACAGGGATCTACATGGATGAAAATTTAACCATGGAGGAACTTTCACCAGGACAAAACCAAGGGTGTCGTGATTGAAATTATTTCATTCCTACATTTCATTGTAAGTAATAGTGTATAGACTGACCTGTTGTTTATCATATTAATTTTATTATATAATAACCAATATTTTCATTAATTGTTATTAGTAAAAATTCCAATGTCAAACCTGGCTGCTCTTCGTCAAGGATGACCACAATTTAGCTGCCCTGTTAACATCAAATCATTTTCCTGTCAGGTGGTTCCTGAGTCCTTTTCTCGCTATTTTGGTAATTTACTTAGGACTTAAATATCAGGGTTGTTTTTCTCAATGTCAAATTCAATTCAGAAGTCATGAACTCTGATCAACAATTTGCAGCATCATCAACAAGAAGTTTCCAACCCATTTTTGTAAAAATGTTAAACAAAAGAGTTGAGGAGGGGAATACATGTACATGTACAGCATGTACAGGAATGATACTACTATATAGTTTAGGGCCGCTGAGCTAAAATCAGCCAGTGGCCCCAAAATAAATTTAAATTCCCAATTCAGGAAAAATGAAATAAAAATCGATATTTCCGGAAATGTTTCCGTGACCGATTTAGGCAAATATAATTTTTGTTGTCAAAGTGTTTTAAAATCAGGATAAGAATGCTGTCAACGATCGCATTTTACTAACAAGGATTTAATTATGTCAACATGTGGTTAAACGATTTTAGCAGCCGGATTCAATTGATGAAAATGGGAGTATTTGATCTCGTAAAAGCAGATCGCCCTACAGGTCGATAAAAAAGATGCTTTTTGTCAAAATGGGTCTCATTAAAGCAGAACTCGGCAGAGAGCAAAATTTTAAATTTTGATATAACATTGATGAATTTAATGGGCGCTGATGTCGTAAAATCAAATCACCCAGCAGAGCCAGTTATATAATACAGTCAGGAGTACTACTTTTACAAGTAATTTTCATTTACTTGAAGAAGTAAATATTAATATACTTATATAAGTAAATTTGTAGGATACTTATACAAGTGTATTTTATTTACTTGTATAGGTAAATTATTTCATTGGCTTAGTTATGTCCCTTAGATGTTCAAGTTTTTTACTTATACAAGTAAATAAATTGCTTCGCCGAGCGCAGCTGGATAAGACCGCAGAGGTCCAACCCTGAACAGTTGGGGCAAAAATGGACGCAATATTCACGCTTGATTCAGGTCTGAATTTGGATTGTAATTAAGTATTTGATACATAAAAGGTTTCTGACACAGAATAACTGTAGTCAAAGATAAAATTGAGGATGGAAATGGGGAAAGAACTTAGAATTGGTTATATGATTTGAATTTATATCCAATTTTTTGCTTTTGTGCAATACACTTTGCTGTTGCGAATTGACCCCCCCCCCCCCCCCTCCCCCCACAAAAAAAAAAAAAAAAATTACCCCCCTTTTTTTTTGCTTTTGTGCAATACACTATGCTGTTGCATATTACCCCCCCCCCCCCCCCCCCACACACACTTTTTTTTTGCCAAAAAAATAATATTTGAAGAATTTTTCTTTTTAATTTCTGAAATATGAAATGAGAAAAAATTGACCCCCAACAATTTCTTTTTACCCCCCCCCCTTTTTCCCCAAAAAAAAATCTTTCCCTCAAGATATGGTCATAATCTCAATAATCTCAATTCAAATTTCCAATAGAGTTTGCAACCATAATTACCCATTTAAATTTAACATAGTGCTTACTTAATCTATTTTATTATAGAATTTAAAATATGGTGTCAAATCTTTCATATGGATTTTTTTGTAAAAAAAAAAGATGCAACATTTGCAGATATTTTTACTGGTCTTCCTTTATAAATATGCATTTCTTTAAACATAATTTAAAAGCAGTGTAAGGGAGGTAATCAAAACATTGTATTTGGAATACCTCCCTTACAATGCTTTTAAATTGTCTTAATTGTTCATTAACAATTACTTTATACATAATTTAATGGCAGTGTAAGGGAGGTAATTCAAATGATGTTCCACAAGTTATTGTCTGGAAACTAGAAAAATTCTTATTTTTGGCCACTAATTCCTTAACTGTTGGTACCATAACCCCCAAAATCAATCCCAACCTTCCTTTTGTGGTATTGAATTACCTCATTTACACTGCTTTAAATTATGTTTTGTACTAAAGTATTTGTCCATTAACCAGGACACCCTTGTTTTTCCCCTTTTTTGCCCCTAATTCCTAAACAGTTTGAGCCATAACCCCCCCAAAGCAAATCCTAACCATCCTTTTGAGGTATGGAAACTTGTGGTATAATTTCAGAGAGATCCGGATCCATACACCGTTCCACAAGTTATTGTCTGGAAACTAGAAAAATGCTTATTTTTGGCCCCTAATTCCTTAACTGTTGGTACCATAACCCCCAAAATCAATCCCAACCTTTGTGGTATTGAACCTTATGGTAAAATTTCATAGAGATCCATTCAGTTAAACTAAAGTTATTGTGCGAAAACCAATGTGATCATTCATGAAATAGGATGTCAACATTATGGAACTGTTTCAAAAGTTGTGATGATGATCCAAATAATATTTAAATACAATGGTTCAATGCTTTAATTTCCTGTTTCTTAGGGTTACACCTAAAGTAAAACTATTGCAACCTTCTACATATTAAACGGCAAGCAAAAATCACAAAAATATCTTATCAATTAAGTACTTAAACTTTTGTACATTGCTTTTCTGAATTCGACAATTGGCCAGTTCAATTTGAAATCCATTTGAATCAATGTAAATTTATAAAGATGACCTGTTGTTGAAAAAAAATACCCAATGGATGTCAGTCGTTTATGTTAGCTGTTATACATGTAAAAAGCCTAGGTTACCATACATGTAGCTAAGATGCAAGCCTACAAAAGATAGTGCATCATGTGCAATGATCTTCATGTAACAACTTCTGTGGTCTCAATCCAATAACTGTCAAGTGATCTGGTAATCATATAGATCACAATCATGATAATCAGTAGCCCGTCCAGGATTATTCTAAATGTTTTAACTTCTTACAGCAGTGTACAGGTGAAACTCAATAAACTTTTTACGTTTTTACAGGGAAATAATGTTAATTCGTCTTAGATTTTATGTATAAAAAATTCCCAATTGGGATGAAAATTCCCAATTTGATGGTCAAGGGACCCATTTGAAAACACCTGGAATCATCCCTTCAAATACAGTGTTTAAAAAAAAAAGGCCCTTGGGTTTCTCAATCGAAATTATAGCATGTTTATTTTGTACGACTTTGGCCCCAGCAGAGCTTTAGAAAAACAGTACAATAACTGGTGTTACACTGACACTTTTTATGAATAGAGTCACTCGTGCATTAAGTGAGTTCATAGGCACTTTATTGTACACCTTGTGACCTAATTACCTTGTTTTATAAATATGATTTAAATGAAAAGTGTTTATAAAGTTATAATTATAAAAAAAGCTAACTATGTTCTAAAATGCTGAAATTAAATAAAGTGTCTACGAAGTTACTGACTGCAAGAGTAACTGCAACCATAAAATATTTCCATGTGGGTTTGCTTAGCAGTTAAGCTGAAATCTTTTAAATTCTCTAAATTGAACAATACAGAGGATTTCCCTTTTATAAGTTTTTCTCTTCATGTTCAAGGAATTTGCTTAAGTCGAATTGTGAGAACACAAAATCAGTCTCAATGTTAAATAAACTACCACTGATTTTGGATATAGGGATGGAAAATGAAAAAAAAAATGTGTCACTTGATCAATACTTGGGTCTACTCAAACATCACAATACTGTAATGAACATGAAATTAAACCCCCCAAAAAATTGTTTTCCAAAATAAGTGGATCAAAAACTTTAAAACCAGACCAAATCAATTATTTTTCATTAAATGTTATTCCCCATAAAAAAGAGAAACATTTTTTTTTTTTATTTATATATTTTATATTTTGTTCTTTATTTTATTGATTTTTACAATACATTTTTTGTATTTATACATGATGTATTTACGTTTGTCTGATTACTCTTTCTTATTTCATTTGCATACATTGCTAAATTTTAAATGTCTTAAATCTGATATTCATATTTTGGTTATTTTGGTTTTTTGGAGATCTTTTTTTGGGGTGGGGGTGTATGAGCAGGGGAAGGCCTGGGGCAACCCTACTTTCAATATAGGGAGGGAGGTGGCAAAACAAATTTCTTTGTTTGGCTTTTTTTGTTTGTACGTATGTTTGCTTTATCTTGGGGGCATAGGAGCCGGGAAAAGAGGCCATACTTGTACAGGTGAGGGGCAGTACTATAAGCCAACCCCCCCCCCACTTTCTGGCAATTTATTCTGTTATTAAAATGTAAAGTGGCTACGAATGAGGACATTAACTTAATATTAGACTATTAGACTATTATGATAAAAATATAGATTAAAGGTCCTTTTATTTGCTTATCACTTTAAAAAGTCCCCCCCCCTTTTTACTCAACTTTTCAATCTACTTCTACTTCACTGATATGTATCAAAAGGATAAGCATTAATTTCACTTGCACACAGTTGATAGAATTGAGAAGCGCTAGTGTTAACGCAAAATATTACTAGACTAAATATCTCGAAACATCGTACATGGTACATAAACTGGAATGCAATTGTTTTTTGTGTTCAATCTTTTTAATTATGCAGTCGTCTAGCTTAAATGCAAAAAGTATTACTTTCTAATCAAAAACGACGTACCACATGTACAAGTCAGATACAAAAGTAACAACATAAACAGGATGGTAACCATGGTAACAATCAGCCGTGTAGTTTTTCTGCACTTGCAGTCAGGTCAAGGTTCTCGGCTTTCGCCTCAGACTTGACCTGACTACTCGTGCCGAAAAACTATACGGTAACGGTTGTTACCAGCCTGTTTTTTTGTTACCTTTGTTCTGTATCTAATACTTAAGGATTATAATTTGAGATAAATTCTTGTCTGTGCTCGCCAACTTTCACAGAATTAAAGTTGTATACTTTGAAAATTTAGATAATGGTTAATTACGTTTTTTCAGTAATCAGATATACCTCACATTCAGACTACACGAAATTCGTCAAACAAATACGGTGAATAATGGACCAGTCTGGTAAAAAAAAATTTGAATTCCAGTCCGAATGTCTAGTGTTGTTTTTTTTTATTAATTTTTCTAGCATTCTAACAAAATTCCTAAACGATCTCAAAATTCATTTTCATCTTTATTATTCATGACAGCGATGTTTATTTTGTTCAACCGCTAGCTTTAAGCCGAAAATTGCCAACAAGTAATGTGTAAATCCGATTAAAAACATATCTGACTGACAAAAACAATAGACAATGGCTGCCATCAACTGGAAATTTAGACAATATTGGTTCAGTTCCGGGAACGGATAAGGCTTATTCCGGGTTTGCCGATCAAATACAATAAATAAATTTTAAAAATCCAAGCAGGTCACATAATACAGCTATGAAATATAATTAAACACTAGAATTGAAAACCAAAAGATATATGAAAAAGAAAGAAGAAACAGGAAATATTTTATACAGAAACTCTAAATTATTTTTAGTTCACAAATAATTTTCATGTCATGTGACATTACTTTTCTTTATCACTGAAATGCATTCAAGCAATTGTGCACAACTTTCATCAAAATATACACTCTTGTCACATGATTTTGTTTTAGTGCATTTTGAAGATGAGTAGGGCACAACAAGTCATAATTTGTTGTATTTTGTCGGATAATATACAATAAGATGTAAAAAAAATAGTCTGGTAAAATTTCATTCGGTCTGGTAAAGCTAGGTTGTTTTCCAGACCGAATGTCCTGAAAAAATAAAATTCATTCGTGTAGTCTGCACATTGCCTATTGAAAACATAAAGCGAAAAGACAGAGACGACCAAAAAATGTAGGTGGTGCTCCTGTCATTGGAGTGAAACACAACAGTTTTGTACACAAATATGGCGACACAAAACACAATCGGAAATTCATTTTACGATATCAAAACGTTAAGATACAAAGCGAAAATATTGTGCGCCACACTGGCCCTGACATTTGTCACTCCATGCGCCATTTTGTGTCAAAATGCGCATGATGCGTGTGGCGCTGGATCTTTCGGATGACTGTTTACTTTTGCAGTTGATTTATAAATATTTATACTGTGTATTCCTGTATTGTACAGAGCAAATCAAAGGAAAATAATTATCTTGTAGCAGCATATTTACATATCAATATTTAGCGAAATTTTCAACAAACTTTAACATACTGTATTCAAATAATAAACATTATACAACAAGACAACAATATACTAAAAGATTGGGGCAAATACACCCAGGCAAAGAGGTAGTAGTGCGAACAGACCCTGGGCAACAGGTAATAGGGCCAACAGGTACTTCATCGAACATGAATCAGGGCTAACGGACCCAGATTCGTGTAAGGCCAAGGATTACTATAAGGTTTAGGGTTAAGACTTAAGGATACATGTACATGTACAAATGTAGTTTACTCATTGTTTAGTATAGCTCTATTATGGGTTTGGATCCCTAAAGTAAAAAGGTTTTCTATGTTATATTTTGTTATGGTTGTTTGAGCTGACGTTGTTTTTTATTATTGTTAAATTGCACTTTCACGTTATAATTTTCGATTGTTCCATAATTTGCCATAATTTTGGTATCTTCTTTCTCTCTATCTCTCTCTCTCGCTTCTCTACTAAAACGGACATCGTCCAAAAGCCCCCGTTTTTACCATATGTATATGGTTCTAAAGAAACACATATATTTTGAACCAAATCTTTGTGATAGCTTGTCAGTCACCTGAACTTTCTTTTTGCCTTGTCCTGCCGAATTTCTGTGGTGTGTAGCCATTGATAACATGAGTAATACGTCACTAAATTAGGGAATAATTCTAACCTTAAGTCGGTATCGGAAGGACAACCTTATCCGAATTTACAAAGTTTTGTCTGGTTTTCAAATAGCCTGGCATCCTGACCCAATCTTCGTTGATATTTTAAATAAAGTTAATATGCTATGTGTAAAAGAAAGAGTTAGTCAACTTAGATTAAACCATGTATTCAATATATATCATGGACATGCTCCAGAGTATTTATGTGAACATGGTTTACTTTTATAAATTTTTACTTGGATGGAGAGTTGTCTCATTGGCACTCATACCACATCTTCCTGTATCTATATGTTGACTTGAATAATCATAATTATACCAGAAGTGCTGCACATAATAATTATTTTGTACCAAATGTATTTGTTAAAGACTCTCATAAAAACAGCTTTGTTTGTAATGCTATACAAGACTGGAACAATCTTCCAGCCAACATAAAAAATATATCAAATAGATCAGCAGTTAAAGAACAATTAATAATAACAGCAAGAAATATAGAAAATAGAGATTTTTTATATGTTTTTTAAGAAACAATTGATTTTTCTTTTTTTGGTGAAAGTCAAATTTTAACATATAATTTGAAATATTATTTTTATATATTTTCATACAAGGGACCCCATTGGAAATAAGCTATACTGTGTAAACTTTTATGGGATATCCCAGGCTTCTTTCTAAGCACTGTTTTTAAAATATATTATGATACTATTTTAGAAGTATATATATATATATATTATTTGTCTTGTTTTGTCTTGTGAATTTTTATATATGTGCTTGAATTTGCCTGAATAAAACTATACAATACTAGTGTCAGCGTTAGCAATCTGTGAGCCAGGACCCAAGGCTAGTTTTCAAACTAATTTAAAAGGTCGATTGGGGTATAAATTAAACACGATAAAATATTTTATTACTTTCTCAAAAAGTCTTTTAAGGATCTTTAAGGGAGCAACCATTTAACTTCAAAAAGGGAGGGGGGGTATATTGTTTTTTGTCTGAGTCAGAATTTTTTTATGTGCAAAGCGCAAACATATTTTTTTTAGTTTTTCGACACTCTCAATCAAATTATTTTTTTTCAAAATTTCACACTATAAGTATGGGGAAAATCTGGATTCAGAGTATTTTCAAAAGTTTTGGGAATGGAAAGGGGTGTCTAATTTTTCAATACTTCAGATGGAGGGGCATCGAAATTTTTTTACAAGATTTGAGTAATTCTGTATTAAAAACATATACAAATTATACTGAGCTAATTTGATGAATACTAGTACATTAAATCAGTATAGTATTATTCAGCAAAAGTGTCTAACACTTGATTCAGATGTCATATTTATATCCATTGCGTCATAATTTTTGACAAACTTTATTTCAATTTTTGTTTCGAGTGAGTCATCGCCGATATCAGGGACTGATTGAGGTTTGATTTCTTAGTTTGAAGGTTTTCTCAAAGCTTTATTATATCCCTTTCTATATAATAAAAACACTTGCTTGATTAATCGTAAAACTCGTGATTGAGTATATATATATTTCAATGATTTAAGATAATATCTGCGAGTCAAGCGTGGCATTTTTAATACATTTTTAGGTCAAAAATATAACTTTATGACCTTGAGATGTGAACTCTGGCGACCCACATTCACCTCTTCCTCATTCAATAAAAAATATAATTATTTGGCACAAAAGATATCATTTTTTTTTCATCACTCTCCGCTCGGTTCAATTGTTGAGATTCAAATGCTTAGTTTCAACATCTTCTTCCTGGAACTTGTTATCATCTAAACTGTTAATTTACCAACTTCTCTAATAAAGGATATATATATGAACAATGTGCTGAAAGAAGGTGCGGTAAATGTCAATAAGACCATAACAGGCATGTATATTCCTTTCGTCCCTTGGTGTGATAATATATTTCACAACTTGCTCGCTATGCCCGTGTTTGTTGTTGGTTTTAGATTTCAATGAACATAATTTATGCATATTTGCTAAATTTAAAGGCATGGATTTCGTTACCACCAATTTATTAAAACCTTTACAAACTCTTTCATAGATATAAATTTAAGATCTGGTTAGAAAATTTGGCTGTACCTGTAGAATTCTTATTACAAACGGGATATCACATCCTAATTTTTACGATGATGTTGTTTAAAAAGCTTGTAAATGTAGACACAGTTGAAAAATCTTATAATATTGTTTTATCGGACTACTATTTTCTGCTCTTTGATCGGGTTGCTGTCTATTTGACACATTCCCCATTTCCATTCTGAATTTTAACATTCATTTTGTTTTTGAAAAATTAGAACATAACTGACTATATATTGTAAGAACATCCGTTGTTCGACCTGTTTGTCAAATACGTTTTGTTTTAATATACATGTACTTTTTCACTTTTTTGGTCTTTTGGAAAATGTTGTTTGTGCTGTATTTAGACCCCTCTACCAAGAAATTTGTTTTGCATGCACACGTATAAAAATTGCGGTTTTTATCCAACGCAATCATAGGTTTGAACGTTGTTTTCAATTTAGACTTATTTATTGCAATATATATGTACAGTAATGATAATTTGTTTTTCTACATCCTGTAAATGCTGTTTGTTTATATTTTGGAATTGCACACTGAGTTTCTCAGACTGTTTATGACGTCTGTTTCTCAGACTATTTATGACGTCATTACATAGGATTCGTTGGATTCGTAGTGGTTGATACATCAATCTGGGAAAGCATGATTTATTTTATAAGTTGTATTTGACTTTGAACTAGCTTCCAGTAACTGCGAGTACTCTTTTTTTTTTCGGTGCATTGTGTCTATTGTTTTTGTGCCCCTTACCGATTTTTTAGTTTAGAAAAATTACAACTGATTTTTACAATTTCTCCTTATGTTGCGCTGTAAAACCACTCTCCAATGTTAGGGAAGGCTTAAGCGATAACAAACATGTTTAACCCTGCCATATTCTGTATGTGTCTGTCCCAAGTCAGGAGCCTGTAGTACAATGGCTGTCGTTGGTGCAGGTCTGTCGCATCTGTTTTTCGTAAATTGTTTTGTTATAAATTAGGCCGTTAGTTTTCTCGTTTAAATTGTTTCACATTTTTCATGTCGGGCCTTTTTATAGCCAACTACACATTAAGAATTTTTCTCATTGTTGAAACCCATATGGTGGCAAATAATTGCTTACTATCACATCAGTTTAACTCTGTTGGATAGCCGTCTCATTTGCAATCCTACCACACCTCCTCGTTTGTATGTATATATCCATATAAAGTTCCCTGAAGTCACAAACAACTTCCCCCAGTTTAAGCCATAGATCCACTTCTGATGCAATATTTTATTTAACAATAATAATATACTTAGTAAAAAGAAATTGTATGCATGTACATGTACTTTTGTTATAAATAATGAAGTTATTGAGAAATATTGGGGGGAGGGGGTTAAATTTTCCTTTTCTTTGGAATTTTGGAAGGGGGTCTTTATAATTTTTTTCCTACCTCAAGGTGGGGACTTGAAAAAAAAAACAAAAGACATTCCGATGTCCCCCCCCCAACCCCCCAACCCCCAAAGAAAGAAAATGACCAGTCACTAAGATAGAAAATATAATCCTTATTTAAAACAGCTAGGATATAATGTTAAAATATTTACAGTATTTAATTACTATATAAATGCATGGACACTTTTGAATGAAATGGAAGAAAACAAAACGAAAGAATGTCAGAAGACCCCCGATTGACAATAATAAGGGTTTATAAAGATTGACAGAAGACCCCCGATTGACAATAATGGGGACTTATAAAGAATGTCAGAAGACCCCCGATTGAAAATAATGGGGATTTATAAAGATTGGCAGAAGACCCCCGATTGACAATAATGGGGACTTATAAAGATTGACAGAAGACCCCCGATTGACAATAATGGGGACTTATAAAGAATGGCAGAAGACCCCCGATTGACAATATTGGGATTTATAAAGATTGGCAGAAGTCCCCAGATTGACAATAATGGGGACTTATAAAGATTGGCAGAAGACCCCCGATTGACAATAATGGGGATTTATAAAGAATGGCAGAAGACCCCGGATTGACAATAATGGGGATTTATAAAGATTGGCAGAAGACCCCCGATTGACAATAATGGGGATTTATAAAGAATGTCAGAAGACCCCCGATTGACAATAATGGGGATTTATAAAGATTGGCAGAAGACCCTCGATTGACAATAATGGGGACTGATTAAGAATGTCAGAAGACCCCCGATTGACAATAATGGGGATTTATAAAGAATGGCAGAAGACCCTCGACTGACAATAATGGGGATTTATAAAGAATGTCAGAAGACCCCCGATTGACAATAATGGGGATTTATAAAGATTGGCAGAAGACCCTCGATTGACAATAATGGGGACTTATAAAGAATGGCAGAAGACCCCAGATTGACAATAATGGGGATTTTTAAAGAATGGCAGAAGACCCTCGATTGACAATAATGGGGATTTATAAAGAATGGCAGAAGACCCCCCGATTGACAATAATGGGGATTTATAAAGAATGGCAGAAGACTCCCGATTGACAATAATGGGGATTTATAAAGATTGGCAGAAGACCCCCGATTGACAATAATGGGGATTTATAAAGATTGGCAGAAGACCCCCGATTGACAAAATAATGGGGATTTATTAAGATTGTCAGAAGACCCCCGATTGACAATAATGATTGGCAGAAGACCCCCGATTGACAATAATGGGGATTTATAAAGATTGGCAGAAGACCCCCGATTGACAATAATGGGGATTTATGAAGAATGGCAGAAGACCCCCGATTGGCGATAATGGGGACTTATAAAGAACGGCAGAAGACCCCCGATTGACAATAATGGAGACTTATAAAGAATGTCAGAAGACCCAAGATTGACAATAATGGGGATTTATAAAGATTGTCAGAAGACCCCCGATTGACAATAATGGGGGTTTATAAAGATTGGCAGAAGACCCCCGATTGACGATAAT